AGACTTTAGACTTTAGACTTTAGACTTTAGACTTTAGACATTAGACTTTAGACATTAGACTTTAGACATTAGACTTTAGACATTAGACATTAGACATTAGACTTTAGACATTAGACATTAGACATTAGACATTAGACATTAGACATTAGACATTAGACATTAGATTAGCTTTTGCTACTCTCTCTTTTTATTTTCCCTTTGTTAAGTAACATTTCCATCTTGTAGCCTGATCTTATCAGATCTCAAAAGCTAAGCAAGGCTGGGTCTGGTCAGTACAGGGATGAGACCTTAAAGCCAGCTAGGTAGGTGGCTGTTGTAAGAGGTGTTGGCGGACGAGTGATGTTCTTCCCTCTGGACTAGAATTTGTAAACCAGTGCCCCACGACTGGGGACATTATGCTGTGGGAGGTGCCATCTGTTTGAGGAGATGTTAAACCAAGGTCCTGATTTTTTTTAATCATTAAAAATCCCATAAGTATGTTAGTAGTAGCAGGGGTGCTGACCACAGTGTTCTGGTCCACTCATAGCTTGCACAGTCTCACCTAAGGTCCACCATAAATGAGCTACTGAAGCACTTCTTCATGCACTGAGGCAGCTGGCACAGAATCACTGCGGTTTGTCACTCACATGGGACTGCACTGCAGTGGCACTTGAAGTGGGTCCCCTCCAATAATGCAAAGCACCTTTGTAACCTTTGGGGTAAAAAGGGCAAAAAAAAGCAATTAATCAAATGTAAATGTAGCTCAAGGGCATCACTCCTGGTTTTTCTGTGGCACGACAGCGCCCCCTGCTGTTATTTGTGTGCCATAACTGTGTGTTCCTGACCTCCTCAGTCTGTTACTCAGACACTTTCGCTCTCGGTCTCTCCTCAGGGGGACATGGGAGGGGAGCGCGTGCTGCAGAAGAAATGGACCACGTTCCTCAAGGCGCACCTCCTGTGCTCCCTCCCGGACGATGGCTTCCCTTTCAACGTCATCCAGGACATGTTTGTCCTGACGCCGGGCCGGCAGCATTGGAAGAACACCACCTTCTACGGCCTCTTCACCTCGCAGTGGTGAGCAGGGCCGTCGGAGGGTGGGTTTCTGTAGAGCTTTCTGTAGATTTCTGTAGACAGAGGCGCCACTTTATTCAGTGAAGTCACTTGACTGCAATAAGTGTTGATCCACGACCCAAAGGGAAATACATTTAAAACTGAGAACAGGAGGCACTTCTTTATGGAGGTCTGGAACAAACTACCCTGCCATATGGTTGAAGGTGATGCCCTGGTTTCTTTCAAGAAGCAGCTGGAGGAGATCCTCGCTCCGTTAGCTACTAACTACCAAACAGCCTGGAAGGGCTGAGTGTCCTCTTCTTGATAACTACCTTTCTGGTGTTACTATCAGAGCTTTTGTCATTCATCTCAGGAAACCAAAGGATTCACTCTAAAAGGACTAAAATCACCAACTGCAACCAAAATGCTGAAAGGCATATATGCAGCCACAGACGAGGAAATTGTTTATTGATGGGCTTTCCTGCCTGCCTTGAAGCAGACACGCACTTCTTTGTTTTTCCGTGTCTGGGGGATCTTTACATTGACATTTTTATTTACTGTTCAAAAATCCACTTGGCGGGGAGGTTATTGAACTCTTTGATTTAAAGAAAAGGTGCCATTTGCTTTATTAAAAAAAAGGCAGTTGTTTACGTCATGCTGACCTAACTACTGTACATCACTGATCGGGAGTTACTGTGTGTTCAGATCGTGTTCTCACGTAGATAGTAATAATTGCTCACTGCGCCTGTGAGGACTCCCCTCTCGCTCTCATACTGTTGATGTCTTCTGTGCTGACTGGACACGGGGTGAGAGCAGACCTAAAACGCAGCTTTGGAACATCTAGAGTTCAATAATTTGTTTTAGAAACAAAAGCACCATTAGTTAACATCCGAGAGATGGCAAGACAGACAGGAAGCTGTTGAACCCTGGATCTCATCCAGCCATTCCTTGAAGCAGAAGCCCACCTTGTGAGGACCTCCTACATAACTAGCCTGCAGGGCTGCACACAAACACAGGCATTTCAGACTGAACGCTTTGCTGCCAGTCCATAATAGAACATTAACGCTACCCCATCCTGCCAAGTCCCCACTGTGTGCGGTTCTGCCTTAATAAGGTGCTGTTGCAGTGAATCACATTAAGATGCATGAAAACGCCACACAGGAGGTAACTTATCATTCTCATCACCTTGAATGAAGGAGTGTTTGTGCAAGCAGCGCGCTGAAGTGTGGTTTCAGGGGCTGGCGGCTGAAAGGATTTGCCTGTGCACTTTTCCGTGAAAGCCGCAGGTGATTTGCATCTTGTCGTTCGGTGGTGAGGGATAGCAAGTCGATACCTGTCATTCATCTTGCATGCATTCTCAGAATGGGGGCAGTGTTATTTACCAGCTCCGAGTGCACAGGAATTCTCAGCCACACGGGGTAGGGTTTGGACAGGAGCAGTGGCAGCCGGCCATTTTGCTCGCTGTGATCTCCAGTTCGCTGCTCTTAAGAAGACAAGGAAACCAAAGTGGATGGAAAAGAAACAGGACAGATTTTTTCATATAAATCTTTCTAAAATTTGAAGCATTTAAATAACGTAAACTAATTAAAAATTAGTAAGATTATTCGTTTACATTATTCACATTATTTCTGAACTATGTACTGTGCATCCTGGATGTATTCGGCTACCTTTATCTCTGAACCAAAAAATGCACACTGAAAGTTGAGTATTAGTCTTGTATGCTTGATGTTAATGTGGTACACAATTATTACTGAACATCTTAAAATTTTGGGGGGAAAACACCTCAATAATTTGCATAGTAAAATGTTTAGATTAGACTATTCTGAATGCAATCCCAAAGCTATTAGCAACCTTGATGTGCTGTGCTCTAGTTTTTGGATGCTTTGCCAACTGATTTGAGCCTGCTTGCACCCTGATGAGTTGTCTGTAACACTGACCCCCATATCTTTCCAAAGAGCATGTTGTCCAGCTTCTCCCATTCGACATGATTTTTGTTTACAGTGTGCATACTGGTAATTCCGTCACAACTCCTCAGGGTATAACCGATACCATCCTAACTAAAGAGCAAGTAGAATCACAAGCATATGGAGTGACCTGTGTGAAACCAGTCTTGCCACAGATGTGGTACTGGTGTGTGCAGACTGTGGCCGCGCCGTCTGGATGCGGTCGGCCGCAGGACTCCCCCGGGGCCCGGTGTGCTCAGGGCTGTGGCATGAGCCCCGTGTGTGCTGCTCCCGCAGGTACAGAGGTGCGTCGGGGAGCTCGGCGGTGTGCGCCTTCTCCATGGAACAGGTGGAGCGCGCCTTCAACGGGCGCTACCGCGAGGTGAACCGGGAGACCCAGCAGTGGTACACCTACAACCACCCTGTGCCCGAGCCGCGGCCCGGAGCGGTGAGTGCTGTACCGGTCCCGCCAGGGCTTGGCCAAACGCATTTATTACCCAGCACATGGGAAATCATGATGGACGCGGAGATCCCACACGGGGAGATTGTACTTTATATCCAACACACAGACCTAATCTGAAACAACTCAACCCCAGCACCACTGTGTCCCTTTATACACCTGCTAGTCTAAATTACCGTCCTGTCAGAATGGGGCTCTCAGCTCACTTATTAATCCGTTAATTCACTACGTGTGAACCTGTGCACAAAATATAACGCCCCCTACTGGCAGGTCAGCTGAAACCTAAACAACGAAGCACTGCTTACATTTAGTTCCTAAAAAAGGCTATATTTCATTATTTTCCATCTTTTTCATAGAAGCAACCTGTTAAAATGTTTTACTTAGTAGTGGAAGAATTGAGCTAAAAAATAAAAAGTAGTTGATCTAATTCATTTAACTGCAAAAATGAACAGAGAAGATAATCTTAAAATATTTGTACTAAGTCCTGCTGAATCGACAGTATTACTGTTTTTTTCACAAGGATTGACCACAACTTTCCCCGTCACGTATGAACATCCCTCCCAATGTCTGTAGATATCTGTACTAGCAGATTGCACTCAACACCATTGGCTTAATGATTATTCAATCTATTTCCCAGAAGAAGTGATGATTATCAGGAACGTCTAAGAAAACAAAGTCTTATCACTGTGTTCTAAAAAATTCAAAACAGATTAATGCAATACATTGCCCAGCTTTTTATGTAGTACACTGTGTTTTTAAACACATCCTGTCTGTCTTCAACAGTGCATCACGAATGCAGCGAGGCAGATGAACATACATTCCTCACTTCACATGCCTGACAAGGTTCTGAACTTTGTGAAGGATCATTTCCTGATGGACAGTGTGATCCGCAGTCAGCCTATTCTCCTGAAGCGCAATGTGAGATACACTCAGATTGCCGTGCACAGAGTTCAGGCCATTTCCAGAACCTACGATGTCCTCTTCATCGGTACAGGTATGTGCTTGTCGTTAAACAGAAATAACATCCAAGTAAAAGATCCGTTATTTCAGTTAAAGACTTTCACCTTGTCACTATCCAGCTGTGACCGGTGGTGTACAAGTGGTCACTGCAGTAAGGTCATCATTAGTCAGTCAAGGTCTTCACAGATTTCAAAGAAGATTAGATGCCAATGATTGGTTTCGGTGCCTGTAAGCTTGCGGTGACATCAGTGCTGCTCGTCCAATCAGCGCTTTCTCTCCTGTAAGGAGCTGTGGAATGTGCTTTGTATTGGCAGCTGGTTCCTTATCTGTTGTCCCCGGGCAAAGCAAATGGTGTGACAAAAATAAAGCAGAGTCTTAAACAATAATCAGTTGAAAGTTGGATGGAAATGCACCGAACAGAAATTGGCGATTTCAAACATTTAGAAAAAGTAAAAAAGAGACCCCAAAATCAAATAAATGACTGTAATTTCCTTTGTCCTTGACAGATGATGGAAAACTTCACAAAGCAATTAACACTGACCACAGGATGTACATCATTGAAGAGATCTCTCTCTTTGCTGAGCCCCAGCCTGTGCAAAACATCATTCTGGACTTAGAAAAGGTAGGGGAGCTTTTAAATTCATAGCTTAAAGCAAGATATTTGTAGTGCAGATTGTGACACTTGGAATTCAAATCAGTTGAGACAAATCCCTTTGAGAGGGAACCAGAAGGAAAGTTTTTCCAGCTATGGGATTATTTGGACCCTAGATTGTTGTAATATTCTAGATTATCTACTTTCCAGATTTTCCCTCAGGTAGAACTTAAATACCTCTTTATATTCTATTTTGTTCTGCACAGAATCCAAACTTTGTTCCACTATAACATTGATCATTTTATATAATGTTGAACTTTAATTTGAGAATAGTCTCAATTAGATGATTAGGAACCATAAAGTTACTCAGAATCTATACTTTACATATGCATCCCACCATGGTTATTATACAGGCAATTCTAGTTTCCTGTAGTTTGCTTATGGTCAAGAGAAGCAACAGTAAATAGTAGATAAGCCTACAGATATGCAGCAAGACAGAATGCTTTATAAGACATTTCAAGGCATAATAGATATGTAAGATAAGTATGGGAAAAAAAGAAGTACCATGTACTACACATGTGAGGGGAGATCTGTGCTGGAGTTACTGCGGTCTGAACAGTAGAGTCTAAGGTTGCCTGGGCCTGTTGTCCCCTCAGGGCGTCCTGTTTGTGTCCTCTCACTCGGGGCTGGTGGAGGTCCCTGTAGCGAACTGCAGTAACTACCAGAGCTGTGGAGAGTGCATCCTGTCCAGAGATCCGTACTGCGCCTGGAGCGGGAGGCATTGCCGAGATGTCAGGCAGGCTTCACCAGACCGGTGAGTCAAATCAGCTGGGTCCAGCACTGCAGTCAAACTCTCTGAGCGTACTGAGCCACAGAGAGGCAACTTCAAGACTTGCTGTCAGTGCTGGTTTTCCTCAAACCTCTAAAGTATTTAATTGAAACAGTTATGTGGGTCAGAAGTCACTTCCGCCCCTTTTCAGGTGTTTAAAGAGTTAGTAATCTAAGACACTAAAACCTGCAAGACACCTGATGAGTGGTGCTGCCCGTCCCAGTTGGGCAGTGATCAGCCATGGGCAAGTGCACCACAGCAAGTTGCAGAGCTTATTTCACTATGCCAGGGTTTTGTACCAAGCGCCGATGAAAATAGGACCGTTGGTGAGGAAACATCTGCTTGGTGAGGAAACATTGTGCTGCATCAGGCACTGTAATTGTGGTTGATCTTCATGAAGTGTCCACCAAACTTCACAGATAGCAGAATATAGTTGTTCTTTGCTGTGCCTTATCACGTATTTCACTTCTACATCTTCACCTTGTATTGACACATGACATACAGTAGATTTAAAATCTGCCCAAAGAAGACAAACCTTTTCTATATAGGGGGGTATATGGAGGCAGGGGGCAGGGGGCATTTTCCTTTTGGGCTCGTGAGGACCAGCGCTGAGTAGAAAGTGGCAAACATAAGTCACAAGAACAATGGACCTTGTAGTCCAGAGCCCAGAACCCTAACTACCCCTCCACACTGAGCAGCACAACATAAGTGAGGAGTCAGTGCTGTGGCTTCTGCTCGGTTCTCTGAGAGACCAACCTTTGCCACCCTGTTGCGTTTTCAGATCGTGGAAGCAGGATGTTGAGGAAGCCAACACTTCGGCCGCCTGTAGCATTGCACTGCCTGGCCCGCGGTCTTTCAATCCATCAGGCAAGAGTAAGAGCCTCCTATCGCCCTTACAGCACACACGCGTTTCACATGATGTTAAACAAAATGAAAGCACCAATCTACGCATTAACTAAAACAATGTAAGAATCATGAACTAATTTTTCCTTTCACTCTGGCTAGCAGGTGGGTTTGAGTGCCAGGCTTTCGTTTTACCGGCCAACACCTTCAAAGTCCTCTCCTGCAAGCTGCATTCGAACCTGGCCCAGCGGCGCTGGGTGTACAGTGACAGTGCCAGCCAGTTCGTGTACGCCAGTCCGGACGGGGGCCTGGTGGTGGTGGCGCAGGCAGACATGCCGGAGACGTACGAGTGCTGGTCGGTGGAGGAGGGCTTCCGGCAGCTGGTGGCTAACTATTGCGTGAGAGCAGAGAAGCTCCCGGACACAACCACCACCACCACCGCCTCTACTGCCCGGTCCAGGACGCCCCGGGTCCAGGTGGATGGGTCCCTTATCCTCCCCGGGGAGAGCCGGTCTCCCCAGCTCAGCCCCAAGACCTACTGGAATGAGCTGCTCATCGTCTGCGCCCTCCTGGGCTTCTCCTTCCTCGTCTTCTCCCTGTTCGTGGTCTACCGCAACCGGGATCACATGAAGTCCGTGCTGAAGCAGGGCGAGTGTCCCAACATGCAGCAGAAGAAGCCCAGGATGGGGGGGAAGCCGGCGGAGAGCCTCCCGCTCAACGGGAGCGCCGTGCCGGCGTCCACGTCTGACCACAAGGGCTACCAGACCCTCAATGACAACTACATCTGCAGCACGCCCACACACGAGTCCCCCGACCACGGCAAGGGCTTCACGGAGTCGGAGAAACGGCCGCTGGACTTCAAGGAGAGCCACGTGGAGATCTCACCCACCTGCCCCCGCCCCAGAGTCCGGCTGGGGTCTGAAATCAAAGACTCCATCGTGTGAGGCATCTGTGAATGGGACAGGACTTGTGCTTAGCATTGTCCTCCTTCCAATCCACAGTCCAACAAGGGGAGCGCTGGCACCACATCACAAACGGGGCCTTTCATTTGTCAGTCCTCTTGCCCCGGCCTTTTATTTTCACTGATTCCATCTTGGTTTCCATGGGGGGTGAAGTCTGAGGCTCATTTCTTTTTCTGAACTAAATGTCACCCAGATGACAATGACTTGTTTTGCAAGAAGCGAGAGCATGTCTGGCTTGGCCGACAGAAGAAAAGGTAAAATCTCCTCAAGAACTTTTACAGAAAGCAATCTTCCAAGTGAAGCGACAAAGGGGAGCAAATTCCTTTACTTTTTATCTTTGTGACAGTGTGGTGCGAAGTTGTTAGGCAAACAGAGACTGTACCTGCAGCAGCTATTTTGCTCCACCCACTGCAGAATCAATCAGTCTCTGACTGCTCTGTAAGCATTAAGGTCTTTTTAGACTAATTGGTCCGTCCCCATGTTCTCAACATATCACCACAACAGAAAATCACTTCCAGACCTGGCCGCAATGAGCCACACTTGAACTACACCTTTTGCTTGAACAGATCACCCCATTCTGGTAGGATACTGCAAAACTGAGAACAAGTTCAACTTCAGTGGTTTCTAAACTTCCAAATGATATAGAATTTCACAGCAGAATTAGCATGTCTTTCATCCTTTTACCAACCAACAAAAAGGGAGTCCATCTCCGCTTAAGACTCTCCTGCATCCCTCTGAGCTCGGGGAGGGTGAAGGTGAGATTGTGGCAAGCTGGGGAAAAAACAAAAGTTGTGCCTACTTGCAAAAGGAGAAAAACGAAGAGTGTTTTTTCCGAGAAACTCAGTATTCTCAGCGGAGGTGCTAACACCTTCTCTCTCGAAGCCTGCTGACGTTATCCAGCACAAACACAAGAGGGAGGAGTGAGAGTAGAACAGCCAAGGACGGGAGGGTGTGCAGCGTGTTTTGACCACAAACCCAGACCAAACACAGAAGCCTGCCACCCTCTTCTCAAAAGACAGAACCAACAGAGCATTAAATGCGCACTATGCAAAAAAGCGGTTTCTTACCTGTGAGGAAATACAAGGGTTATATCTATGGAATTGAAAGAGCATCTAGCATAGGATCCAGGTGTTGAATGGGCTACCTTACTGGGCTTCATTATGCTCTCTAAGTATTAATCCCCAGAGACATTCATGAGAAACAAAACAATGTATGCAATTAAGCTTTAGTCATTTTGGAATTAAAGAAGCACAGATAATAATCTTACTTAATATCTTTGGACCACATTATTGCACACCGATGTCCAGCTTGAGCGTTAAGTGAGCTTGGAAAAAGCACAGGATTCCTAGCAGAAATGCCAAGTGACCCTAATGGGAGTGTTCTCTCCCATCACAATGGAAAAGGACTTAGGGGTGGGAAGGGAAGTCTCAGCACGGTGGCAGTGTTCACTTGGATTGTGACAAACCCAGCCAGCAAAATGGAAAATAACATCATCTTAATGTTTGTAACACAACCAAAATTATTGTACGCTGTGCCAAAAAATGACTTGCGTGTTGTTTTGTTTTTTTTACATTTTGTTGTTTTTGTGAATTCTGACATTTCTCACCATCAGCGCAGCTGATCTGATCTGCCTTTCTTTTGTGTAACTTAACTATCATTGAATGACAACTATGAAATGTACTTTATACGCAACAGGTATTTCAAGTTCACAATGTAGCTGCTTTTAAGAATGTGAAAGCCCTCATCTCTCTCTCCATTTGCTTTGGAGTTGTCTCAGAGATGTTCTACACTGCCTTGGACTAGATTTGTGAAGATGTGACAACAAAAGAGCTCATGTAATTGACTTTCAAACAGCCAGAGTTACAAAACTCTCTTTAGAGCACTAACTTGGTGAGAGATGGGTTCAAAGGAAACCATTGAAATACTTAGGACACTTAAAATTTTCAACTAAACAGTCCTTTAGACCTACTCAATAAAAAGCTAGGTGTTTTCAGCATATGGTAGGTGCTTGTTACACATTCCTGGAAATTGAAAGCAGAAGAAAACAACAAGAAGAGCAGAGAAATTAAAAGACGTGGGACTGCTATGATATATTTGATAGATTGCTGGTTTTTGACTATGGTCATGACAATGCATTTTTGATCAGTAAATGACTTGGGTATGTTGCAGAACCACTAATCCCTGACATCGTATTGTTATTGCAATTTGAAACGTGTTTCCCACCAATTTGTCTTTCGTGTGTAATGCAGTGTGAGGCTCCTCCACTACATCTCACAGATTTTGAGACAAGCATATGTTGTGAAATGTAATTACTCCAAAGTACACCAATACTATTCGTATTGTACGTAATGCCTTTCCATCTAGAAATTTACTGAAGGGTGTTAATTTCAAGAACGATGACAAAGTACAGTAGCTGAGCAATGAGCGTACTGCATTACTAACAATTAAGAGCGGTCACATGTATATATGTACATTTGTATTGTATTTGAGAGAACCGATGCAAAATGTGTTGTTGTAGAAACTTGTGGAACTAGAAACTACACATTGCTGCTTTTTTTCACAACACTTTATTTTTGCACAATATACTGTACAAGCCTTAGTTTGGAGTGGGGGTGTTTGTTGTAGATTCTGTAAGATGTTCTGGACAATACTTTGTGAAATGCCTGTAAGAAATATGTTGTTAATCAGTGTCATGTTGCTGAGAAAGTCAATTATTTTCTTCCAGCCTAAAGTCTTTCTTAAATCATCTGGAGCTTCAGAGAAGTGTGAATTCACAGGCACATCAGCAAAGCTGGAACAAGTCAGAAGCAACCAGTAGCACTTGTCACAAACTCTCTAACCAGGAAGTTAAATAGCACTTTGGCATTTCAATCCCTGCTGTCCTCCAAGGGACAACAGTGGGGGCCCATAGTGGGAAACTGAATTGTTTGTTCTTTCTAAGTTTCATAGTTCCATAAGAAGGGGTAAAGATCAAGTGATATTCTTGTGTACTGAGGTGGTGGTAATCTTGTAATATATAACCCAGAGACAAGATGGTCCAGTTAAGAAAAGGACAGTTAGCATCTGGTTCCTAGTTTAACTCCCAGCTTTGTCACTGACTTCATACTCCGTCCCAGAAATAAAGAAGTAAAATAGAGGTCTTGTTGTAATTGGCTCTATAGTTGTTCACCTCCTTATCTCTGTAACTTAACTTGTGACTTTTTATTAACTTATTACTGCAAAAGTGCTACTGGTTGATCTAAGAAATGAACAAACATGAACACAGCTGGAGCTCTGCATGTAATACCCTGAACTTAAATACCAGACAAATGGAGTTGCATTATGACATACCAAAAAAGGACTGCATTTATTTGTAAAAATTAGAATTCTCAATGTCCTTCTTTGTAAAACCTTTGAACCACTGAGCACAAAATAAATGAAAGATTTTATATATATGTATGCAGATTATGAATTGGTTGACTGTTAGGTCAGCCAAGACCTGATGCATTGGTATCTGCTGGAAGCCTTCCAGAATACTGGCTCTGAGGAGGCAGCAGTTGAAACTTAACAGCGGGGACCCCCACATGGCTCGGACAGTAGAGGCACTGACTCGGTGTGCAGGCTGAGCTCTATAGTCCTGCTTCATGAGTGTTTCATAGCCAGCTGTGACCTTCATTCGCCAAGCAGCAGCTCACAGCTGGTTCAGCACCATCTGGGTATTCATGGGAATTGTAAGCCAGGGCTCCCTTGGTAAACAGGCAACCTGTGACTTCTCAGGTGACTGCGGACTTACGGAGGCCTCTCCTTCAGTTCCTGCTGACCCTGCTGTATGTAGCTTGTAGCATGTCTAAGGGGGGACTCGCCTAGTGGGAACAGCGGCCTTCACTGGGTAATGACCAGTTTATTGTAATAACACAATTGGTCATTCAAAGTGGGATGGGCACATGATTAAAAAAAAACCACACAACATTTATATTTTATTTTTCAAAAAACCTCATTAAAGAAGAGGAAATTCAGAAGACGGCATCAGGCTTTTTTGATGCTACATAGAGTGGTCCACCCAAGCAGGACCAGGGTCTGGCTTTCAAGCAAAGAAATACCCACGGTTATACTTTTACAGTGCGTGAAAGGGCAGCACCTTCAGACTCTTGCCTGACCTGCGTTCCTCAAAGGTAATGGGGAGTGACCTGCTGTTCTCTGTCCCCTGACCAGTTGGTCCTGGTGGGCAAAGGGGTCTGGAGTATCAGAACGAAGTGGGTCTGCAGGCAGGACTCCAGTTACAAACCAATGGGGGTTTTTAACAGGAAAGCACTCCAGCAGAGCCGCCTCATCACCCCAATGCAGCACGCTTACTGGATCCACTGTTGAGAACTTCAGCTGTCTTGCCACAAAGCCAGTATGTCCAGCTGTTTTTGTAAAGTGGCCTGTGCTGTACAAACACATTGTGAATTATGTATGTTTTTTTATATTACCGTTGCTAACTATTATTGTTAAAGTTATTGGCATATTGTAAATAGATAAATGCACTTTATTTTAATTTTTGTAATAAAAAATGAAAGAAACTGTTTGGAAGCTGTTATGTCAGTTCTGTTCATTTGTCACAATATTTATTTTCCCTACCGGTAGTGGTAAGAAAACTAAATTTTAAAGTGGTGATACCTGTTGAGTAGGATTTGGAATGTAATTTTCGACAAAGGCATGACTGTGTAATCATACACTCTGAACCGGGAATATTCCTGAACTCGGTCTGCTAGAATATCCCAGAATGCCAGAGGCCGCTATCTCCAGAAAGTCATGATGAAATTGAATTGATCCACATTTGCTATGCAAATCACTCATTTGCCTGGAACAGTAAAGGAATAAAGTGGCCAGTGTTTTTGAATTCTAATTTAAAAAAGAGAAAAGGATTATAAACCCCGAGTGAATAGACACATCTAGCTATACAGTATAATTTTAAAGCAAACCTTAAAGGTCTCTGGGGTGATTTTAATAATGGTCTATAAGGCTCACCTTTATATTGTATTCTGCAGTCAGTCAAGTCTGTCTCACTCCCCTCTAGTAAAACAAGCTAACTTGATTGATTGAGAAAGGGGTCCAAACAGAAAAAGCAATTAGCAGAGTTCCAAACCAGCAGACAGCATACAAACTCGCAGCATACAAGCTCTTACTCTCCCTGGTATCTATGATGCATATGATGCATATCTCCTTATTCAAGAGAACTGGAAGGCTGTTCTACATCGTTATTGATTGGGTGTGTGATATCAATAGATATGCAAACAGTGAGCTGACAGCATTCGTGTCTGTGGACCTCAGAACAGTAGGCAGTGGACACACCTCAGAAGGACATTACTGGAAACTGCAGGTAATTTAAACAGTTTAAGAAATGCTTTACACAAAGTGACTTTTATTAATTATCAACATAAACTGGTTCTAGTATAATGTGTGCAACCTTTTTGTCAGTGTTGTTGTTAAAGCCTAGTTTGACACTAGATTTTACAATGAGTTGCACAGAAGTGTTCAGTTCATTTCTGTCTTGGATCCACTTTCTTTTAAGTCTCTTTAGAAAAGCTACAAGCCTACTGGCATAACTCTCTTGCTTGGATTTCTGGGACAGTTTGCTAAAACCTATTTTCCCATTCTTGAAAGTGTTGGATACATTTTGTAATTGAAAGTCTGCAAAATATTTTTTCATGTAAATTTCCATTGGTAAGATATTCTCCTTTTCCATGTCCACTATTATTATTTGAATTCTTGATTGGCAAGAGGTTGTTGACAATTATTTTCCACCTTTCTGATTTCAAAGCTTTAAAAAAATATTGAACAGAAACTCCAGTGTAGTATTAAAGCTGATCATCCATTGAGATATTTGATGTGATTATAAAAATGATATATTTAATAATGAGTTACTTCTTGTAGCATTTCTAGCAATTTCTAGCTCTTTTTATAAAAAGACTGGATGCTTTATGATCCTTTGAATCTAAAAATCAACTTTTCTTCTTTAGTGTTAACAGAAATTGTACTGAAGACACTGTGTCAATGTACATATTGAGAGTTTTTTTATGGGACCTGGACTCTTGATAGCAGGTATTCCAGTTAAATAGGAAGGAAAACATCTGTAAAATCTCAAAACAGAAACCGCATTGAACGCCATCTGTCTCTCTCTGGCGTTACATAGATATTGTTCCTGAAATATTGAACATGGGTAAACACAAAAAGAGACTAATATCTTGGTAATCTGAATATGGACAGATCAATGATGTGGCTTACACAATTTTTTTACATCACTCCTTTCTTTTGTATTTTAGGATTCCTCTGAGATTAGTAAAAGCAGGGGTTGAGAAGAGCTTATTTTCAGCAATATAGGAAAGACTATAATATAGAATAAACCCGCTGAAGGCAGACAACATCCATGGCTTCAGCTTGTGTTGTCTTGGTCTTGTGGGTGGCTGGAATTTGGGAAGCTCTGGAGATGAGCGATGCTGCTACAGCTGTCGGCAGCAGTCAAGAGCAGGGGGCCTCATTTCCATGGCATCAGTACCGTCTTCCACGCACCCTGGTACCTGAGCAGTACTACATCTACATCCACCCAGACCTCAATACGAACACCGTCACTGGTCGGGTGCATATCCTGATGACGGCTTTGAATAGCACGACCTCTGTTGTGCTGAATGGCAAGAATCTGTCCATAACGGAGGCCTTTCTGAAAGAGCTGACCCCACACCACGGCCAGGAAAGCATCTCAGTCCGCGTGCTGGAGTCTGTCCCCAATGAGCAGCTGGCGTTCATCTCCGAGATACCCCTGGCAGCAGGGAGGAAATACCAGCTGTCTATCGCATACAACACCACAATCTCCACCGGCTTCTCTGGGCTCTACAAAGCCTCCTACTGGACAGACAACACAATCCCAAGGTAGGTGCTCCTTAGGCGTGGGATTAACAATGCATCGTTTTTTCTTTATTTGCATGTGTGTAGTATCAGTTCGGTTACAACAGTAGCAGCAGTGGTAGATATGAACAATTCTGCAGTTCCTGGAAAAGGAGCCTAAAGGAATATCCATCACAGAGAAGCCTAGTGAAGTACTGCAGTTGTGTGTTTTATCGTTAGGATTTTAGCTGCCACTCAATTTGAGCCCACCTCTGCCCGGAAGGCTTTCCCCTGCTTTGATGACCCCAGCATGAAGGCTGTGTTTTCGATTGTCGTTGTGCGGGACTATAATAACAAGGCCATCTCCAACATGCCCAAGGTAAGGAAGGCCTCCTGATTCATTGTCCACATATCTGTGATTATGAGACTTTAGTGGTTCCATTTCATGGGTTCTCCTGCCTTCCCTGAAATTATTTGGTTTGCGTTTGGTAAAATACACTTTTTTGGTCCCAGTAAAAGTGCTGGCTCCGTGCTCAGAGTTCCATAGTCCGTCCGTGGCAAGGTAACGCCCTTAGCCAGCTTGGACTCTGAGTTCCACCAGGATTGGCTGGTTCTGAGCCATCCTCAAAGTTGCCAGGCAGCTTGCACTTGAGAGACACAGTAAAAGACGCACTTCATCTCCAAGTGGTGTTCTAGTGATGGATGGCACTGAAAGAAGGACAGCACACAGGGCCTCCTTCTGCCCGTGAGTTGCAGGTAAGCCCAGCTCATCAGCAGCTGGCAATGGCAAGTGAGGAGGGCATGCAAAAACAAAAAACTTGATTTCTAAAACAAATGTCATATTTGTACCCCTTTCTCATGAACTCTAGATGACAGACCCATACAGGAGAAGCCAGGGCCTTTCTCCGGTCGCTCAAACTGGCAGATGAAAAGGGAAAGTGCCAGTTGTGAAAGCACGTACTATATCTGTGAGACGCGATAGCAGATTTAAACAATTTATATGAGAAAAAATAGCTAACTAAACCATTTTAGCTTCAATTCAATTCAATTTATTTTTATATATGGTTTATGTTTATTCAGGTGAAGACAAAGCCGAGGGCTGATGGACTGCTTGAAGATCATTTCCTCCACAGTGTGAGGATGAGCAGCTATTTGGTCGCCTTCGTCATCAGTGACTTTACATCCAACGGCACAAAATCAAAATATGGCACTAGGGTAAATTCTTCAATCAAATTACTATTTAACATATAAAAATGCGTCTAATCAAATATTTCCAGATGTGTAACATGGGCAGTGGTTGTCTGTAACCAGCTGCACAAAGCAACTGAAGCTGAACTTTTTCTTTCTTTTCTTTAAGTGCTCTATGAATTTGGAGGTGTTACAATTCATTTTAACATATTGAATCGATGTCATTGGAAAACCAGTACCAGTGCTTAAGATGCCCTGTAAAACCAGGAGCCACCTTAAACTGGTGCTTAGGACATCCACTTATAAGATAGTGGAGAAAAACAGACCTTCGGTGATGGGGAAAGGTGGAGAATGACGTGGTCTTGGCTTCATACCTGATCTGAACCTCACAAATATTTGTAACACTAATTCCTTGTGTCCCATAAATCTGATGGTAATTCTATAATTTTACCATGTTTCAAAATGTGACATCGTTTTGTCGAAAACTGGCAAGCATGGAAGTTTTTACTCATGTAAAATCGTGTACAATCAAGTTTGGATACCACATGCTGTGCTTGCTGCAGAGTGTTGATGTTAACCGATGATGCTCAGGGCCGATGTTTAGCTGTGCTGTGTTTGCCAGGTGTCCGTCTACGCCCCCCCCAATCAGATCGACCAGACCTCCTATGCTCTCGATGTTGCGGTGAAGATCCTGGAATTTTTTGAAGAATACTTCCAGATTCGATACCCTCTTCCCAAAATTGGTATGGAGTTACTTAGCATTCTCAAAAAAAAAAAAAAAAAAGAGATACACAGAGGAATACCTGATCTGTTCAGATTAATTTGTGGATTGCTTCTCTCACCCCTGTGGAAATCTGTCTCTGTCATGTTACATGGAAAGATGTTTTACTCTGTTCCTTGCTCTTCTCTGTGTTCAGACTTGGTGGCCATTCCTGAATTTGAATCTGGAGCCATGGAGAACTGGGGTCTGGTCACCTTCCGCGAGACCAGCCTGCTGTATGACCCCATGACCTCCAGCGAGAAGAACAGGCTGTGGATCATGCTGGTCACGGCCCACGAGTTCGCTCACCAGGCAGGTGTCTCACGTCTCTCTTTCCACACACGACACGAAGTGAAAAGCAGCAAGTAAAGCCTCACTCCATGCTGTTTCGGCTGTGAAGCCTTCTTGAAGTGTCACAGTGCCACAGCATGGAATGATCCTTTACCTGGTCTCCTTTGCAGCCTATGCATTCTGACGCAGCTGCCTACCATCAGTAGTCATCTCTAGCAGTCATCTTGAGTATTCCTCAGACGAAGCATCAGTAGTCATCTCTAGCATGATGAACTGAGAACACCAGATTAATTTGGTAATATTGCCATTATGTGTTGGATCTCAGCAATTGTCTGGAATTTATGGTGGATCTTGAAAGAACCGGAATGCACGAAATTTACTTAAGTACCACTGCAAAAGAAAAATAAGACGCCATTGGTTCTGTTTTGTCTGGATGTGTCAATCACTTTTGAGAAACTGTTTCAGTAGAAAACAATGCAGATGCATCGTGGCTCCTGCTATTAACTGAGAGCTGATCTTGTTAAAACACTTGTTTCCAGTGGTTTGGAAATCTGGTCACCATGCAGTGGTGGAATGACTTGTGGCTGAATGAAGGTTTTGGAAATTATATGCAGTTCATCGCTGCAGACAAACTGGAGCCAAGCTGGTGTGTGGTGAGTGAGGAACATCTTGAGAATTGGTGGCTCAAAAAGTATTCTTCTGTTTCTGCTTTCCCTGAAAAAGAATCCATGCATGGAGTTTGCAATATTGAATACTTCCAATAAATAAATACTACAGTAATCATTTTTTTGCATCCTGTTGATTTTTTACAAAGGACTATGAAATAGATACATGCCTTGTACATACACAACATAACCCCTTTACTTCCAGCTGTGTTCATGTTTCTAAGCAAACTATTTCTTAACCTACAGTACATTATTATGTTTGATATCACGTGACATTATTGGTTAAACTACCTATACATTTGGTTTAAGACAGAATCCTATTTATTTTAGATGGGATGTTGTCGTGCTCTTTAATCTGATCATATCTCCACTTAATGGTGGTAACACTGAGATGAAAATCTAGTTCTGTGATATTTGCCAGATCCAAATGTGTGCTGTGTGTTTCAGGAAGACCAGCTGCTCATTGTGAACGTCTACAGAGCTCTGGAGAGGGACTCCTTTAGCTCCTCTCACCCCATCTCTCTGCCAGTGAAGAACTCCCAGCAGATTAGGCAGATGTTTGATATTGTCTCCTACTGCAAGGTTAGAAAGAAATGAGAACAAATTTGATGTGATAAAAAAATGGAACATTTCTAGAAACATTTCTTACATGTGTATACTAATCACTGCTGTGGTTACATGAAAGAAGGGTCCCAGGATTCCTGCAGTATATTCTTGTTGTTCTTTGTTGCTCTTGGGTTCTCTGAAATCTGATATTAATGTAATTCCTCTAATTGTATTTATTCATAGTACATTTACTGACAATGAATATAGCACAGCTAACACTTAAATATGCAGTCTAAAACTGGCAATAATCATATCTTTGTGAAAATTATGCAACTTATATTTAATTATCCAGACTAACCTACAGAGACTTATACCTCATCGGTTCTACTGTAGAATCACAAACAATATCTGCAAAACTTTAACATCCAGAGCACAAGAGAGTTAAATAACTCATACATGGTAGTGATACTGTGTGAATCAATGTTGGAGCCCATTTTAAATTGGGAATGTCCCGGTAACAGTCCTTATCTCTGACCACTGCATCATCTAGCCTACTACATACTGTACAGGGCCACCTGCCCAGTGTGATACAGTGCATCTTCTTGTATTTCCTGCATTGTGTATATCTCACTAGAGTAAACACCCTCTCTACTGTCTCTGCAGGGTGCCAGTATTTTGAGAATGATCCAGAGCTATCTGAATGAGACGGTATTTACTGCTGGGATTCGAGCCTATTTGAAGCAGCACAGTTACAGCAATGCACAGCAGGATGACCTCTGGAGCGCACTGACAAAGGTATAGACAGCCCTCTTCAAGGGCTGGGGAGGCGAAACCTGGTACTTTCTAATCATTCTGGTAATCCTTCACTGCAGGCGTGCTCCAGCTCTAGCACTCTTAATGGCACAATAACTCTACCCGTAAATTACAGACTACTAATCCAGTAGTGTACTGGGTACCAGTTCAGCAAATGTTCACTGACATACAGTAGATGCCTTCATGGTTGCATCTTTTCACTCTCACTTTTCCCTCTGTCTTTGTGGAATATTGCAGTAGGATCTTTTTTCCGAAAATGCAATGAAAAAAAACATATACTTAGTATAGGCCGTTACCTGTCATAGATCATAAGTAGTAATTATTAGATCATTCTGTTAATATGTTCATTTTGGTGGAACACATTTCTGTTCACTTTGGTCAGATCTGCTATACTATAGTTGAAACAAGTCCTGGGCAGGTATTCACACACCAGGGCTAGCAGATTGTGTCTAGAACAGCAGTCAAACGCAGGGAAGTCTTCTTTTCAGAGCGCTCTGGAGCACAACAGGAGAGTGGATGTAAAAGCTATAATGGATACCTGGACGAAACAAAAAGGCTACCCTGTGGTGTCCGTGCAAGTCTCCGGACAGAAAGTGAAACTGCAGCAGGATATTTTCACTCTATATCCCCAGAATGGAACAGGGTAAGGGTGAAAAAAACTCTGTGTCTCCATTTCACCTTCTTCTCCTTTCCATGTTGTGTATGCCCCTGTCTGAACTGTCCATGTCTCCTCCCCTTCTCCTCTCCACTATGATTTTAATTTCTTTGATTATTTGATTCAGTAATCACTGATTACTGTGCGTGGAAGTCCCCTGTTTATAGTCACTACTTGTTAGTCATCTCTGAGGTGCTGCTGCAGTCCTCATTCACTGTGATCAACACAAACTCACCCGGTCCCAGCCGTGCTCATCCTGCTGGGCATTTCTACCTGAAGAATCTCCTCTACAGTCTGCTTCGGTCAGAGACCACACTCGGATTCTTTATTTTCCTCCTAAATCGTTATTTATTTTTCACCTTTGCTTTGAGGTTCCTGTGGCAGATTCCATTTACGTTTTATTCAAGCACCTCATCATCTGCCACCACCTACCTAATGAAGAAGAAAGAAGGTAATTTCTTATTCTTTGTAAGGAAATTACTACTCAATAAGTTGCAAAGGAACAAGTAATAGGTTTATTTCATGCTTAAAAGAGAAGAATGAAAACACAACGTTTCGGCCGTGGAGCCTTCTTCAGGTGTGAGAAAGACAGGGCAGTAGGCAAAGGTAATGCAGCGGGAGAACAAAAGCTGGGAGAGAGGAAGAGCGAGAGGCGATAACAGGGGACAGAAAGAGAGGCCAATCAAGAGGTGTGAAGTCAGGATAGGTGAAGAGAGGTGTGAAATGAAACCTACAATGAATAGAGAGAATTTAGAAGAAAAGTAGTCTGTCGTTAAGAGAAGGGGGAAGGTGTGATCCTAGCTGCAGGATAATTGTGGTTTCTGTAGTCTTTCTGATGTATGAGTTCAGAAAACCGTTTTTGAGAACACAGATGGGGAGATTAGAGTGGTCATGGCCACCAGAGGTGAAATGAGAAACAACAGGCTTGGAGAAATCTTTAATCTTCACAGCCCTAACATGTTCTCTGAAGCGGTCTCCCGAGTCTCCTTCCTGTTTCTCCAATGTAGATGGCTGGGCATTTCCTGCAAGAGCTACAGTAAATAAGGTTGCTGGAGGTACAAGATGCCATCTGGGTTATCTGGAATTGTCCTGAGGGGCCTTGAAAATGATGTGGTGTTAGATGTGTACTTGCAGGTGATGCAGCGAGCTCTGTTGCAAGGGAAAGTACCTGGTGTGGATGATGGTTGAGGGTGGTCAAGGGAGCTGTGAACAAGAAGGTTACACAGATTAGGGGGTTGGCGATATGAGATGATGGGGTGATCAGAAAAGAGGGGCCCAATGGAGGGATCATCCTTTAATAATAATAATAATAATTGCTTACACTTATATAGCGCTTTTCTGGACACTCCACTCAAAGCGCTTTACAGGTAATGGGGACTCCCCTCCACCACCACCAATGTGCAGCATCCACCTGGATGATGCGACGGCAGCCATAGTGCGCCAGAACGCTCACCACACATCAGCTATCAGTGGGGAGGAGAGCAGAGTAATGTAGCCAATTCATAGAGGGGGATTATTAGGAGGCCATGATTAGTAAGGGCCAATTGGAAATTTGGCCAGGACACCGGGGTACACCCCTACTCTTTTCGAGAAGAGCCCTGGGATTTTTAATGACCACAGAGAGTCAGGACCTCGGTTTTACGTCTCATCCGAAGGACGGCGCCTGTTTACAGTATAGTGTCCCCATCACTATACTGGGGCATTAGGACCCACGTGGACCACAGGGTGAGCGCCCCCTGCTGGCCCCACTAACACCTCTTCCAGCAGCAACCTTAGTTTTTCCCAGGAGGTCTCCCATCCAGGTACTGACCAGGCTCACACCTGCTTAGCTTCAGTGGGTTGCCAGTTGTGAGTTGCAGGGTGATAGGATGGAAAAGTTGTTGTTAATAGTCCTGGGGATAGAAAGTGTGTTGGGGTGGTAGAGAAGCACCAAAGGTACCTTGTTAAAGGCACAGTGAAGTGTAGTAAAGCACAGTGAAATCACAATCCATGCATTGTGAGACACTGGGAGGAAGAGTGAAGTGTGAGATTAACCAATCCATCGCAAAGCAAAGGAAGGACTTGTGACAAAAACAAAGCAACCGAAAACATACCTTGCAGACTGACAATGGATTATGTTTCATATGGCACTATTATTGAGAAGTCACCCATTTGTATCCCATTCTTATTACTTCAGTGCCCTAAGAGGAGAATGGATCCAGTGCCTCTCTCCCCAATCACAAATATGGGAATAAACATGAACTCTGTGTTTTCTAAAGAGAAGAAACACCCAATGCAGTAGACTTCGTGCTCTTTATGAATTAAACATCCACACATGCAGTAAGTTTAAAATGGCTGAGATTAGCCAGTAAGGGGGAGTTACACTGAGCAGGGCCCTCCAGCACAGAAAGCAACAGGACAGCCTAGTTTGCAATGCTGTGTCCCAGGCTCCTGCCCCAGGAAATGCCCCAAATCCAGTGATTCCTTTCAACAGCCCATTAGCATTCAAAGCAGGGCCAGACAGAGTCTGCTGATTCCAGAATAGTTAAAGGCCAACTGCATCCCCAATTTCTCAGACCAGTTAATAAATCTCAGTAACAAAATCAATTCATTGATGCCATAGAAAAAAAATTACAAATTGCGAATTAAGCGCAAAATTGTGAACTTTGTGAAAGTACTGTAAGTCGCCATATTCACATTCAAGTTCCCACGAATTGCCATGTGAAGCAGCCCTTCCTGCCCACTAGTCACTGCAGTGAATAATGGCATGTGATGTACGAGTGTATAAATACAGGTTGTGCAGCAGACATGTTCCAATATGATCTGCATGCAGAGTTAACAAGTAAGTAGTATTTGTCGGCAAAACCATCTCAAAACCGAAAGCAGTTTTTCTATCAGATTAAAAGAGATGTGTTCACAAGCCGACTTGTTTGCAATGTCATAGGGCCGCACAAGTCACTGGAAGTTTTGTTGCCTCATTCTGAATCGCAGAACAAGGCGCTGTGCACACCTGGCAACTTTATTTATTTTGTGGTGTAAATAGGAGGTTTTACAAGTAACTGTGTACATTTTGCTTTCATTGTGGTGTGAAATGCACTCATCAATGCTGATTCTTTCTAACCCCCAAATATAAAAATGTCGTTGCAGCTCCCCTTTAAGTCATTGGCTCCCTGGGCATCATTTTGATTTTGGCTTTCCTCTCTTTATACAAACTTGAGTCTGATTTATAATAGAGATCTATACAGTATACTGTATATCAGTGATTTTCCTTTCTAGTTAGGTATATTGATAGACAGATACACAATGGTATATTTTGGCTCCCTATTAAACCCCCCACTGGGTCACAACACTCCAGATGAATTTCAGACTCACTCACGTTGTCCTCTGCCTCACAGAGCTCATCAGTCTCCCTCACGAAGTGGCCTGGATCAAAGCCAATGTCAATTCCACTGGCTTCTACAGGGTGTCCTACGACCTGCCCACCCTGCACGCCCTCGTCAGACAGCTGCAGGAGCGTCACACAGTGTTCAGCCGGATCGACAGAGCCAGTCTGATTGATGATGCCTTTCACCTTGCCAGGTACCGAGCTGGGAGACAGGGCCTGGCTTGGCTCTGGGAGACAGGCTGTTGTGCTCTCACATCGACAGAGTGCTTTACGAGCATGGTCACCACTCACATATCGTTTTTAAGCATTATTGTTGTTTGAGTCTGACCTGAATGACATAAACGGATTGCATTCCTCTCTTATGTATGATATATCACACACAAATCTCGCACTGTATTGGGAAAGTTACCCATGCAATTTGGGATAGAATATGGTTAAAACAGTTCATGCTTTTATTGAATACAAAAAGAACACATTCAAGTTATGGAGAGTTGCAAGCATTTTTTGATTGCTAATTTAAAAGGTCTTACAAAGTTTTTTTTTTTCCAAAGACCGACATGGCAGACCTCTCAGCTGTGCCTGACGGTTCGGTCGGCTTGTAAAATGACATTTCTGCCTCTTACAGCCAGGGGTCGCTGCAGTACAGCGAATCATTCGCCCTCAGCCTATACCTCAAGCATGAAGAGGAGTACTTGCCCATACGGATGTTCGTCTCTCACATGGGAAAGATTATGAGTAAATTATCTTTCGGCAGACAGAGATGTGTTTTCCACTTGATCAAGGTGAAAAGCACGGTTTTTTACCTTTATTTTCACATACAATTTAAAAAACATTGATTATACGCCAAAAAATAATATTCTCCACAACAACACACATGGAATTGAAATTCTAAATGCGCAGAAATATATGCAAGTTTGTCGGATACACTCATCTTGTGCAGTAGAACGGGTTATCCAGTGTGATTTAATATGGCCCATTTTCCCCGTCAAAAATAACCCTGCGCTCTGACCCCAAGCTTCTCCATGTATCTCATGGAGAGCAAGTTGGGGTACGCGAAAAGACAGATCCCTCATATAATAAATTGTATATGGCCAATAAAGTGATCAAAATACGAAAGAAAAGCACAAGTGAATAATTCAATTTTTAATGACTAAATCATTTGCGAAACATTTTGAATTAAGGGTAACAACGGCAAATAAAAAATGACTGCATTTAAAAAGGCACTGGAATTTCAGACAGTATATATAGAGAGAAATATAAAACCTCTCACTAGATTTCAGCACATTTCAGCTTTCGGGGAGTGTTAGCGGAGTGAGCTGGCCGGGCCGCGGTGCTGCGGTCTCACTGTGCGGAGCTGTCTGTCTCTGTGCTCCTGTCTGGCAGACTCACCTGTGGGAAGTGCTGGAGAGGCAGATCCGGGCGCGGAGCTTCGACGACAGCGGCTCCCTGCCGCAGCAGGACCTGCGGGTGCTGCTGCTGTCCCTCGCCAGCGGGATGCCCTCGCTGCCCGTGAGGCAGCGGGCACAGAACATCTTCCACAGCTGGATGGCAAACGACGGGAAGATCCCGTAAGGGGGCTGGGAGAGTGGGGCGGAAAGCGGGGATCGCGGGACACGTAGCGCTTGGGGTTTGGAGAGGGCCTGGAGGGACCCCTGCTTGGGCTGCACACGACGCGTGTAGCATTCCCACCTCTCACGTGTGTTTTACTCCATTGGCGGATACTGCATGTACTGCGTGTGTCCATAGTCACACCTGTTGGGTTCGGGTCTCAGCCACCGCCTGCGTTCACTGTTAATTATATATGATGCTTCAATAATGGCAGATACCAAAACCACTGTTTCACTTCGTTTCGGAATGTGTAAGAAAGGAGCACAGCAGAATAATTTCAATCACGGAGCAGATTTAAAGGATCGGACGTTAGCTGGATCTGAAGGTTATTTGTTGAGGATTTTCTTGGAGTTATAAAAAAGTTGGTTGGGGGAAGAAAAAAATGCTTGGCAAATCTTCCAGTAAAAATATTTTCTGCCTAATGTCTTTTTCGCAAAAGAGGCGACTTATGTTGTTGTGCAGTGTCATCTTGTGGAAATCTTTCGTAACTACACTATTTGGGAAAAGAAGTTGCATTTTATAGCTTCTTGATTAACGTGAAGAATAAGGCTCAAGGCGGTAGCCTGAGAATAGAAAATGATATCAACTATCACAGATTTTTTAATCTAAAAAACATTATTTATTTCGGTCACTCTTTATTAAAGTATTTTTACCTTGCTCGTGTGCGATGCAAGTTCAGTTCTCGAGTTAGTGCTAAGAACACCCACGCTTCTCAAGGAGAAGTTTATACGTCAAACTGAATTGCAAAGCTGACAAGTCCCCTACTGTACCTTTTCAAAACCATTAGAAAGAATCGTGAAACCCGCCCCAAATGACTGAATGAGACATCAGAAATAAGACGGTACAGAAGGCTACTGCAGTGAACCAGGTAGTCCAGGGGTGAGGACGTGTTTCAAGTGTATAGGAACCGTGCACGGTTTTGTGGCAGCAAATTAGATTATGCAAATCTCCAGTGGTCATCTGCTGCCTTTTAATGTTCCGTGGACCTGCGTGCTGCGCTGTCTTGCTGTGGGACTCGTCTGTGATGCTGTGGGTGCTGTCGCAGGCTGCCCAGGACCCTGCGAGGTCTGATGTTCCGTGAGGGTGTCCGGAGAGGCGGGCACAGGGAGTGGATGTTCGTGCTGCAGAAGTACCTGCGCAGCGTCTCCAGCACGGAGAAAGCGCTCCTCCTGGCGGCTCTCTCCAGTACCAGGAATCTGAAGAAGAAAATCTGGCAAGTGCCCGTGCTTTTCACAATCACAATTCACAATAATGTTAGCTAAGGTTGATTTAATTCTACAAGATTTGAAAGATTTGTTTAAAAAAATCTATATTGATTAACAGATATGTAGCATTCTTACACTTGATTGAACGAGGTCATTAACCCTAAAATAGCTTCTCTGTTTCATTTTGTACATGAAGGGATGGGTATGTAAAGAATATTCTCAGAGAACACAAGATGATTTAAATTATTCACACCTTAATTGTCATGCAGTGTCTTTGTTTTCACACAATTTAAATGGATATATATGGTACTTTGTATATCTTGTACTGGAGCTGTTCCTCTGTTGTGCATAATTACTAAGCTGTGTCTCCATGTATTCCATGCAAACCCCTCAGAGTGACTGCAAACCCTCACTTGTTTCAGGCTGTTGAATGCTGCGCTGCAGAACCAAGCCATAAAGACGCAGGACTTTATCATCTTAGTCAGCCGGATGGCGGGCAGTCTTTGGAGCAATGAGCTGGTGTGGAGGTTTGTGCGGAGTCACTGGGAGGAGCTGGTGGAGAAGTACGTTCCCTACTTATTTCTCATTGAAGACAGGTGGTCACACACTCTCAGGGGCTGGAGGTAGACAGTTGCACCAGGCTTAACAGCATGCCACGCCTGTAAAATGTTACTGAATTTAAAAAGAACTGTTTCCTTTGTTTTTCTTCTGCAATCAAGAATCAGTATGACATTCTATGAACAAACCCATCCCATTTAAAGTGGACTACTGTGCTATTCATTAGATTGTATTCCTACAGTTTACTATCCACCTTGCTGCTGCAGTTGGTGTTGGTGGACCAGTAGGTGGCGGTCTCCAATTGGTGATCCTCACCAATGCCCCCAGTATGGTGACTAGGGACACTGCTGCAGGAGCTACTGTCATTTGGACAAAACATTAAACTGACTATTTGATCACAAAGGACCTCGTATCATTTGTACAGTGGCCCAAAGGTGCAAAACAAAAACAAAAAAGAGCGCACAAAGAGATGTTTTTGTGAATTTTCTCAAATCTCAAAGCACCACGACAGTAGGATGTTCATGTCATGGGAGCCGGGTCAGACTCCCGTGAAATGCGTTGTTAAAGACCCTATCCGAGATGGTATAATCCGGAAGTGACTGGAGGAGGACATCAGGGAAGACACAGCAGGATCTGGCTGGGTAGAAACACAGGGGGTGGTGACGACGGTGATCTGGTGCATGGGGGGAGCGCAGGCCAACGAGTCCAACAGGAAGTCCAGTGGGGGGAATCAGGGCGCGGTCCAAGGTCCAGGTGCCGGGAGATCCATCCGAGACGAACACAGGGAACTAGGAATAGGAATAGTTAAAACCTTGACAGGACAAGGCGCTCCGAGCCCCGGACTCAGTAGGTCAGGACGTCTGGGGAAAAGGCCCTGCCCTCAGACTGCTCCTGAGCCCGGTTGATAGGCAGGCCTTCAGACGTCCGTCTTCCAAAGCTGAGCCCAGAACTACGGAGACGCCGCACTTGAATAGGGAAAAGGGAATAAGACGCAACTGGGACAAATAAACCTGGGAACACAACGAAAAAAGGTAGGGGGATTTTTCTATAAAAATCCTATAGATCTGCTGCAATGTGGGCAAAACAAATAGTTTACAGCAAGCTGCCCTCCGCAAACCCGACAGAACATCCTACTCTTGTGGTGTTTCTTAAGATTTTACAAAAATTCAAAAACGTCCCACTCCACTCAGTGCTGCCCTGTCACCTAACAAGAGATGTCTTGTCCGTTGTAAAAATCTATTTCCCTTTTGAACACATTTTTGTTTGTGCAGTGTTGTTTTTTGTGTGTACACTCTTTTTTGCTTGTGTTGTTTTTTTGTTTATGCACTCATTTTTGGTTTTGTGCTTTGCACTTGTGGGCCACCGTTCCTGTGTCCATTAATTTGACACACAAATTCCCATGTAAAGATTACAGAGTGGTGGTTTGATCTTATTTGCTCTGTTCTTCCTCTCAGGTTTTCTTTAGGCTCCTCATATTTGTCCCACATCGTCAATTCTGTTATATCAAGATTCAGCTCTACAGAGAAGTACAATGAGGTAAGTACAGTCAAGTTATTATTTTCAGGCAGGACTTCCTTTACCACTTGTCCCTTCAAGCTAATCTGATTTTTTGCCTTTGTGTTTCCTAATTAAACACAAAAAGAGTTCAATTAAACATTTGTGTTTAATTGAACATGTCTAAACATGTTTAATTTAACTCTTTTTTTGACTGACAATTACATTTTAAAATGTAAGGCATTGTACTATTGACTATTTTATAATAACTCACATAATTTAAAAACACTCTCACTACTTAAATCTAATTTAGGTTAGGTGTTGAAAATCACACCCAGTAAAAAAACTTACTGTGGCGAAGAGTGTGTGTATGTCAGGGGAACGGTTTCTCTCTTTGATGAAATGCATTGGACATATGACATATACAGATTCTTAGTGTCATTATTTTTAATTGCAGTAGACTAAATGTCTGCTAACTTTTTGTTCCTTCAGAAACTATACATTTTTTTTTGTTATAGGTGTATAACTTTTTTGTGTCTCAGAAGAAACTTGGACATCTTGCCTTTGTCGAACAAAGCCTAGAAATCATCAGATTGAACATGATGTGGCTGAAGAGGAACACAGGCCCAATCAAGGCTTGGCTGCAAAAAAAGTATTCCCATAGCTATGTGACTTACAGGTACTGCAGAAACAGGACCACCTATCGCTATGTCTGGGGAGGAATGATACAGATTCATTACTAACTCACAGGGAAAGGAGATAATGGTTTAGAAGTACATACTGTATGAAATTAATCATGGTTTTAAAAATTCATTCTATACATTCTATTTATAATTAATCATTAGTATGTGAAATGGATAATTGAAAAAATATGTAAAGATATAACAATAAAATCGCATACTGCTGTTCTGAGGGCAGCTTGATACATATTTGTTGTAGATTAAAGATAAGGGTACAATGGGTTTATAGGGACATATTAATTTACCAGGGTTTTAAAACTGGTTGAAAAGGACAGTTTATTTAGAATATGAGTTCTATAGAGCATGCTTTTGGAAAATTTCAGAAACATGAAAACTCCCAATGTTTACTTTAACTGCAATAAAGGTATCAAATGGATTGAGCCAGCAAAAATAAGAGTGAAGTATATTATTTATAATACAGGTGTATCAATGTGTTTGGATGTATAAGTGTTGCATTCAGAATAAAATAATTACTACTCTTTTCTTCTGGACTTGTTGAAAACAATTGATATACTTAATCAAAGAGTGCTTTACACTTTTTCTGATACCTGTAAGTGGTGCACTAACAGGGTTTAAATTATACATCATTAGAGACGTTAAATCTTGTGCAGCACCTGAGCTGCAGACAATGAGCTTAATAACAAAGGGCCAGTGTTTTAGCAGACTGTCTTCCCGGTTCAGTGAAGAGTTCAGTTGCAGGAGGTCAGACATTAACTGTTGTGCACAGAACAGGAGATGAGTTCTTTACAAGAGCTCTTCTTTCCTTATCGGGCTTGGTAAATGGTGTACATGCAAAGCAGCATGGAGCTCACTGATACATCACAACTCTTGGAATACACACTCCTAGTTCCCTGCAAGGACATTACAGCAGATGATAATAACAGAGCAGAGGGGGCCTTCTCTCTGTTGTCCTTCTTTGACCGTTAGTAGTATACAGACCTAAAGAGCATATTATTTTCCTGAAAAGTTCCCAGGACGTCGGTTTCAAGAAAATGACTGGGAATCTTGCTCCAGACACTAACTTTCAGTTCTAAAAAGTACCTGTTCTCAGTCCTAAATTTACTTCCTCACAATTTCCAGTGAACCTTCTGTTCTTTTTGTTTTTGGCTGTTGAGCATAAAATAAACCATTAGGATGACTGTCAATATGTTAAAGATTTTTTTTATTTTTTACTTATATGAAATCCCCTCTCCTTTAACATACCTGTGTATTCCCTTTAGCCCTGAATTTATTCTGGCTGCTCTTTGAATGTTTTCTAGGGCAGCAATGTCAATAATCAGAAGTGGACTCATTAGTGCACTGTGTAACCTTACTTTGATGGAACCTCTGCACTTTTCAGTATATTATAGGGAAATGCGGGGATCTCTTGGGTCCTACATACAAAAAAAAAAACATTTCTTTATTCCAAGCCCCTTCTAAATTGTGAATGAATATACTGCACTTTAAAGACAGATGAATGTCCGTCATTTGTTCTTTCAATCTGTCAAGCAGAATAGTTACTAAGGACTCCTTGTGGTGCTTCATAAACTGCATAATGGAAACAAACAACATGCTTCCATAAACCAGCAGAGCCTGTTAGATTTCTTTAGGAATTCAAAACAATGTACAGCAGCCTGTAATTCACACAAATAAGGGCATGACACCTGACAGCTTCAGGTTAGAAGAACACAGAACCTCAGCCTGACAAGAGTGAGAGGAGAGAAATATTTTACAATATTCAGAAAAATCTGAAAGACCCCAGGTTAAATATCCTCACTTCTGTAAAAATCAGAACAGCCGATGACCATTCTATAACTACCGTATAACCACGCACAGAAAGAAAATGACACCTTCCAGGGTTTAGAGCTCTATGATGACTACATCCATGCAGTTTGGGCAACACTGACCCGAACAAGAACAGACTGGGGTGGACAGAGAAAGCAGGACGATTGGAAGGGTTTCATCATAGTTAGCCATTGGTCAAAGAAGCACAAAAAAGAACAAAAATGTGGATGGTGACAGTTCGCATAACCTTACAAGAGGGGAAGGGAGAGATGGTTTATTTCTCACCACAGTTGCCATAACACATCCACACATCTGCCCCCCCCCCCCCCCCGCTTCACAAGGGCATACCCCATTAAAACAATGATAATTTTGGGGTCCCTGAGTCATTCCTGCCCCAGCTCTGGGATGTCATTGTCATCACCTGTGTGTCCACCTTAAACGTACTGTAACTAGATATTTCACATTATAACACTAGTCAAAAAGAATGAAATACATGTGCCAGTACCCCTATCTCAGAGGTGGGCAAGGGTGGTCCTGGAGGGCTTCTGAGTCTGCAGGGTTTCATTCCAACACAGCTCATAATGGCAATCAGCTCATTACTGACAATTTCACAGCTTCTCCCAGCTCTTCAGGTGCTGGGACCTGAAGAGACCTAGAAGACCTGCAGACACACTGTCCAGGACCAGGACTGGCCAGCCATGGCCATAGTGCCCTAGTTCCTTCACCAAAGACCGGCACTGCCAGGTGAGTGGGGCAGCAGTTTGAAATCAGGTTCCTCTGTGCACCACGCCATAGCACTCCCTGTGCAGTAACAGGCGGTCACATTGCAGATGTTCTTGTTTTGTGTTTCACATTGCAATCGATAAATTAATCATTTATTTCTGGAGATTAAGAACTCCATAGAATATTTAAAAAGACATATTTTTCTTTTGCAAAACCAATTTGCAAAGCCGGAATTACATCACAACCAGCCGACTTGTTCAGAACATTATCATCAATACATGCGGGGTTTTTGCTCATAACATTTTTAGAATCAGTAATGATCTGGGGATTTTTTTCTGTTTGGCCTGAAGCAGCAAGCTCTCCAGGACCAGAACCTTTGTGGTGACAAGCAAGTCCGAATGGGTCAGAGATAACCTATACAGTATCACTTTGTTACAAGGGCATCCATAGCCTCAATGAAGAGGAAGCAGATGAGGATACAAAATGATTGTGTTAAAAGTTAATGTGATGTGCTCCAACAAGTACAAAGTACAAAAAACCCCAGTGTATACATGGTTTGTATACAACACAAAGATACTCACTCTCAATTAAAAAATAGTCTTTCCAGCTATCATCTCATACATAAGATGGCTTATCAGTAGGTTTAACCTATGTACTTTTTATGAATGTAGTGCTTCCAGGAGCACATTTTTTTGCAGTGACTCATAATGGGAGAATAGTTAAACCTAAGGAATGCTAATGTAAAATCAAAGAGTGAGCTGTTTTAGAAGTAATATGTACAAATAATAAAGTACCTTTGTGTGCAGGGTGAACTTTGGCAAGATACACACAGGTTTATCATGCTAACCACCTTGTGTACATATGGAGAACAGGTGGTGTGTACAGCCTAGTCATGCCTTTGAATTAGGGGACTGCAGAGAAACAAACTTCAGAAGATGTTCGTGCTTCTTCATAGTAAAGACTATGCAATACTGGAATACTGAACATACTAAATGATCAGAAAGAAAAACATACTGTCCCTTTTGTAGTGCCTCTAGCCCCCTCTTTCTTGATTATTGTACACAAGAAGTAGTGAAACTCACTGGTTAGTTTCATAATCCCCACTGCCTCCACTGTCTCTGAGTTCCAATCTCTGTGACCACTTTTGCAGTTCAATCCTTATAGACCCAAGGACAAATTCACCAAATTCTGACTATTTTTCCTTCGTTGTTGAAAACCAGATGTCTACAGCACAGTTGCTTAAAAAGAAAACACAATTAGAATTGGCAGAGGTAATTAATCATATTTCATACAGTTACAGATCGACTGTACAACCACAATATGAAAATCGCCTTAGGAGCACAACTAACGGTGTTAGGAATTGGTGGTAAGTGATAAATCCACACCTTTAAGTGAAATACAAACTCAATATTTACAGAGATGTCGGCCATCTCAGCTGGGAATGGTTTTTCCCCACATCCTGGTAGAGATCCTCTTCCAAGCAGCTGGCAGTCATTCCTCGAACTGGGAAACCGACGATGTGCTGGGTTGATAAAAGCAGCCATGGAGACAAGGAGAGCAGCCAGAAGGACCGGATCCCTGCAGAGAGGAATCTGTTACTACGGTTACCATGGGGAGGCATCTGTGCTGAACGGGGCAGCTCAGTCACAGCTGTGACCATCGGTGCTATAAGGATTGAACGGCTCTGTGCTCGTCAGCTACTGGAGGGGCTGCAGCTGATGCCACTGAGTATACTCTTAAACACGAGCCTCAGGGGTATGTTCACATACTGCCCTCAGGTACAGCTGTTTGTGCCAGAGCCCATTTTTTTCTCAATTTAATAATAATCATTCCTTACATTTATAAAGCGCCTTTTCTGGACACATTTAAAACGGTTGACAGGAAATGGAGACTCCCCTCCACCACCACCAGTGTGTAGCCCCCACCTGGACGACCCGCTGGCAGCCAAAGTGCGCCAGTACACTCCCCACACATCATCTCTCAGGGGGGAGGAGAGCAGAGTGATGGAGCCAGTTCAGAGATGGGGATTATTAGGAGGCCGTGATGGGTAAGGGCCAATGGGAAACGTTTGTTGAATGTTTTTGGAAACGTGAAGACACTGATAAAGTCAGAGGTAAGACGGCTGTAGGAAAACAAAAATAAAATGAACACGTTTCACTTTAAAACATAATGAGGGAATTTAAAATGGATGCTACTCCAAGAGAGTGTGTGTGTGTTGGGGGAGGGGGTGGGGTTGAATTTATTTTGTCATGGAGCGCAATTCTTTAAAATTGCTTTTGCTATTCTGATACACCGTAGAAAAGAGCAGTAAAACACAGTGAAATCTTGAGGGAAGCATGGCAACAACTAAAATAATGACAATCTTTAAGAAAGGTACCTAGACCCTGTATTTTTAAATTAATAGTTGTTTTTGAAAGTACAGTACTCAGAGGTTGGCTGCATAATCAGTGTAGGAAGGTACTTGGTCACTTGCCTTATTTTGAAAGATTGGCCCTGTATTCATAATTAAACATATTGATCGCAATGGAATTATAAGGGGTGTAGGGGTGACGAGCAAAGCTCTTGTTTTAAATCTGATTTGAATAATTGTTAATGGCAGAACCGGTTGGGAACTGTTCTGACTCAAACTCAGCCTCAGCATCAGCTCTGCTCTTCTGGATTACCAGGTGGGTGGAGCGTGTGTACAAAAGGGAGTTTCTGTGTTCAGTCTGGAAAGGGTCTGTAAAGTCGATACTCTTGTCCGCTGGGATTTTTTTTCTTCCCGGGAATTTCACACATACCAAAAGCGTTGCATAACGCGGTAAACGAATATTGATTTCCTCGAGAAAAAAAAACCCAATCCTTAATGCTAAATAAAGACTAAAATTACTGGCTGCCGTTCTGCGCGTTGCTATAATTTGTACAATAAGGAGATGCTGTGTTTAGTCATATATACAGTGTAAACGTCAGGCTTTGTGGCTTTTTGTTTTTCTAAATGTAAATACCTGGTCGTAGAACCCCGGGAATCTGAACACTAATTCATGGAGTAGAATTGACAAACCAGTATTATGGAGTATTAATAATGAACCAGGTACATGAATTCCGCGGCTTTCACCTTCCAGCCGGTACATTCGGCGACCTGTGCAGGAAGAAATGCCAGACACACCCCTGACACGGGTATTAATCGCCGTCAACCTGTTCCTCACGGCGCCCTCCAGGTAGCTCCGCTCGGAGGCGCGAGGCTGCCATTTGCGTAGCAGGCGGACTAGTCGCGAGGAACGCTCCGCGCGCGGCCACGGCTAGGGGATCCACAGGTGCGTGACGTCAGGGGAGCTGAAGGTGCACTGACCCAAGTTTTAAAACAAAGTGCTTTTTTACAAGCACCTGCAAGCTCAGCGAAGCGGAGATTTTTTTTTTTTACAAGCGTGGTTTCGTTCCGTCGCCATCCGAGAGTTGAGCTGAGTGTTAGGTTTGTCCTTCTCGCCTTTGCGGAACCAAGCCGTGAACTACATGTATATTCTGATGGATTCCCCATTAGCTGACACAGACAGCCAGCCCGACCTGCAGAGACTGTTTTCTGCCTGCGACCTGAACAAGTCGGGCAGGATCGAGTATGAGGACTTTGCGGCGGTGTGCCGGGAGCTGAACGTCCGCAGCTCCGAAGTGGCCTTCCTGTTCAACAAGTTCGATGTGGACCAAGACGGCTGTATCGATTACAGTGATTTCTCGGCCCGGTTCCACGAGGTGTCGGAGACTCTGGACCTGGCTGCGCTCGGGGGAGCCCCGCACGAGCCCAGCAGCCCCTGGGAGGACTTTGAGGACAGGATGGGGGACGAGATCGGTTACCTGGGGAGGTAAGGGTGCCGGCATGCGCCCGGGTGGGGTGTTTTGCTCGGATCTTGCAGCTCTAGCCCTGTCTCCAGCCGATGCTTTGCCAGTGAAGTGGATCGATACGGCCAGCTGGCAGAGACAGTTGACAAAGGGGCGACTGTTCTCTTCCCTGCGACTCCGGCACCAAGCCAGTTAGGAAACGCGCTGAGAGGGGAAGAGAACCTCATGGAAAAGAAGAAGTTATCTCAGTAATCATTTACCGTTTTCTGGTTGTGGAAAATGTTGCGTATTTTTGTTTTTTTGTTAGCTTCTGCTGTGCTCAAGGATTTGAAACAAGTCGGACACTGCACACACTGTCCCGACGCAATCAAACGTTTAGGGTACATTGAGCCACGACAGAAGTCTATATTCCCCTCGCGACAGGAGGCTAAATTTTAACATAGTCAGTCTTAAATATACTTTTTTAAAGTAGAAGGCTTCCCAGTCTAAAAACAGAAGTACCCAGGACATTGGGTATCGGCCGTTTAGTGTTCAGTGTATAGTGGGGACACTGACACCGAGCAAAGCGCTTGACAGTGTAAACTTTAGAGCACTGAAAGGTGTTGATTGAGGCTTTTATAGCGGATCATTAATTTAAAATGCGTCTTCTTTTTTTTTTTGTAATCTCTCAAGTCGGCCAACCAACCGGACATCAGTTACACGGGAATCTACTTTGGTGACGCATTTGTTTGACCGGATCCGCGGCGAAAGTCGAGCTGCTCGGAGGCGCGTTCAGAAAGTGATGCAGCCAAATGCACGCAAATCGGCCAGTTCGCTCCCAGGGCGACGAGAAACTCTTTCAGTTGCTCCAGGAGAACCGTCACTAGAGCACAGATGATTTTTTTAAAACAGTCTAGCATTTCAAACATTTTTATTCAAAAGTAATGTCGAATGTAATACCCCACCACGCCTTCAACAGTACGAAACAGAAGCTTTTTGAATTACCATATCATTTTACCGCACTTTTGACAAATACGAGTAATTTAAAGCCAATCAATGCATTTTAATAATACTTTAGGCTACCCCTTGTCTTCTGAATTTTAATGACACCGACTGACAAAGTTACGCACTCCTTTTGTTTTTAACCTTTCCGTGCATTTAGTCCTGTTGAAAATATAGAAGAATACTATTTCATATACTCCTTCAAACATTTATATACCTATTTCTGTACCGCATCAGTGCCGTGCAAAATATCTCCCCGTTCTAAAATAGTTTCCAACTTGAAACATAAGAGAAAATCTCAAAAACAAGTTTCTGTTTATTATGTTGTAGCCCTTACTATAGTTTGGCGTCCTTGGAAATTTAGGAGTCACCCAGTTCGAGACAAACTCATCCCAGGCATAAAAACAGGCGCAGATCACGTCCTGTGGAACAAGTCGAATTCACGCATCTACATCTTCCTTGCTGGTGTCTGCCCCCAGTTTGATTTTAATTTTGTATTGTGGCATACTACAACGGTTTAATCCTCTTAATTCGTATCACTCACTGATAAAACGGTAATTAAACACTTCATACTTTGTAGTTGTATTTATTCAGAATTCTACGTAAATTCATCTCCAGAATTTAGTTATTGTTAATTTGTTAATATTAGGGATAAAAGCAATAGAAACGGGGTCGGGGGGACGTTTACATTAAATCCCAGGTTATTTTATAAAGTACACAGAGTTGAAGGTGGCCATCGGATCGGGGGTCTCACCGAGACCACTGCGGCTGGCTCCCTTCAGCTGCCGTGAATGCGGCGGCTGGGTCTTGTGCGGCACGATTTGTTGACGCCTCTCTAATTAGGAATTGTCCCCGCATCCTGATTGGATGATGCTACCTGTTGCTGCTGCTGTATTTAGTTTGTTTCTGCGGAGACGCAGTCTTCTTCACAGATAAAGGCATCACCACAACAACGGTTAAATGGTTGTAGTTTCCCTGTCTTAAAAAAAAAAATAGGCGCCTTGCTTTTCAATTTTTCAACAACGCCTTGTGAAGAATAATCGCACCCTATTTATTGCTGACCAGCGCTGTGAAGACACCGTGGTAAGACTTGTAAACAACGAGTAAAATGGTCGTCAAAGCCTTCGTGCTGAAAAATAATTTAAAAAAATTAAAATTTAAAACAATTAAACATTTAAAAAGGTGTTATGTACAAATGTGGCAAACCGCAGTGGTGCCATGTTTTATTGTTCTAAGCAATACAACCCTATTGTTTGGATGACGCAACAGGGCGGAAGCACGGAGTTGACCTTCTTCAGCAGGGGCAGAGTTTTTATTAAAAATAATTTTAATTTTATCACTTGATTGTGTAATTATTTTAAAGTTCTGTATGAATGCATTCAGAAAATGTTTTGGAGCTTTTATAAATTGCGATTTAAACAACGATCGGTGCAGATTAGAACTCTTACCTACCCTAGATTCGTAATACTTGAGTGTATTTAGTTGTAAATAGCCAACATATGTTTTAAGTGTTGATGGAGCGCTTAAGCTGTGTGTTGGAAAACATCAGAGACTAACTGAGAAGGATCCCATGGATGTTGAATTTCAAAGTAAAAGTATTTCATGTAATTTGATTGCCTAGGAACAGTTCAACCATTTTTTTTATCATGAACGTCCTCGCATTGTTAGTCTAAAATTATGAGTTGAATTAATATTGCATTATGTGTGCTGCAAGCAAAAAAGTGGCAACTCAGTACCATGACTTTTGTATTACAGTGTTGTTGTTGTTGTTTTGCTGACACTTTTAAGCAAGGCGACCTAAATTCAAGACAAATGCAATGAAATGGCAATCAGAGCAGAAATGCAGTTTAAGTGAGAACAATTCTGCTGATTCTGAGATGAATCACATGGCTCAAAATGAAAGATTCCAATAAGGGACGCCAAAGCAGGTAGTGTTTGGTGTAAGAGGTGCCAGTAGGCGTCTGTGTGTCTGTCCCAGGGGGCAGGAACAGGTGGCACGGCTGTACCAGCAGATCCACGCCTTCTCCGACGACGCTCTGCTGCAGCAGTACGAGTCCCTGATCGACACGCTGGTGACGGAGCACCGGGGCCACAGCCTGGAGACCGAGCAGCTGGAGAGCGCACTCAGGCGGTACGTGGACACTCTGGGCTGGGCTGGGCTGGGCTCTGGGGAGAGGGCAGCAGGCAGGAGAGCACACTCAGGCGGTACGTGGACACCCTGGGCTGGGCTGGGCTGTGGGGAGAGGGCAGCAGGCAGGAGAGCACACTCAGGCGGTACGTGGACACTCTGGGCTGGGCTGGGCTGGGCTCTGGGGAGAGGGCAGCGGCCAGGAGAGACAAAGCAGAGGTGTGCAGTCCTGGTCACCTGTGTGCCTGCAGGTGTCCATGACATGAAATTGGTGCAGTTAAACTTACAATGGGTTTGATTTTAGGTTGTTAGTGAGATTACGCCTTAATTTCAATAACCTTATTGAGATACCCAGAGACAGTAAGAGATTAAAAACCCTCTAGAGTTGAGTGTTATCAGTGATGTTTACCTTGCAGTAGGTTTGGAGAGGGTTTGATGAGGAGGGAGATGGACCAACCTACTGTAGTATGTCTGTGTTTTATAAATCAAGAACAGCATACCTGAGCTACCAAATACCTCTTTCTTCATGTGCAACACTGCTATTCCTTTACAAGAATAAAACGCATCTGGGAAAGGATTGCAAAGTTTTTTTTTGCAAAGTACACTTTAACAGTGAGGAAATAACCCATTTTGCTTGACTGTTCCTGCATTATGGATTCAGATTTCCTGTGGTGGAAGGATAGTAATGCTTATCTTCGCATTGTTTTCTCTTCAAGAGCTGCTTGTGCCCTGAGGAACACCCGTATCAATTTTTTTTCTTACGAGCTTTTGAAAGCTGGTGAATTGTTTGTAATGCCTCAAGGATACATTCCTGCATGGGGGGCATTTTGTTTTTCATTTTGGCCCTCCTGCAACATGTGCTGCAGTTAAAAAGTGTAGTGTAGTGAGGAAAGTGGGTATCGCTTTTCTGAAAATGTAAATCCGTACTAGTTGGAAATAATTTATTTCAAAGTCTGTGATTCGTGTAGGCTGTTCTATTAAACTGTACCTCATCCTAAGACTTCCATTCCTCACTGAGGCTCCCTCTAGGTGATTAAGGTTTCGTGTTCCACCTACATGGCTCACTGACACGCTATTCAAACTGCTCCCCTCCCTCAGATAACAAAGGGACAGGGAGAAGTCATTGAAAAATATTTTTCATCTGCACATTCTCCACTCCTTATGACTCCGGAGAGACATTTATCCAGCTATGAGATATCTGGGGTTTTGCTCTTAAAAATCACACTGATGTAATGTATAATGTTTCTTTATTAGCCCTATACAATTTCTGGCATTAGGAATTCGTCTTTTTGCATACCCCAGCTTTTTGCTCTTAGTACCCAGAGTTTGTGTCTTGATATCGAAAGATTCGCCCGGCTGAAAAAAGTCCTTCTAAACTTGGAGGCATAGTAACATGGTGGTTCGTACTGCTGCCTCACAGCTCTGGGGACCTGGGTTTTGCGCTGGTCTGGGACACCCTCTGTGTGGAGTGTGCACGTTCTCCCCTTGTCCACGTGGATTTCTGCTTGGTAGTCTGGCTTCCTCGACCTTCCCAAATACATGCAGGTTAGGTCTGCTTGGCTGTTCGAGATCACACCCCTGTGGTTTGTGCCCCTTAGACAACTGCTTAAGGCATGATGCACCACCTGCCATTTACACATGACAGAAGACCATCACTCATCATTTGCTGGCAATGTTTCCAATAGTTTTCAGAAAACATTTTATGTGACAAAAGAACAGAAGTTCTCCTATGGGCATTTTCATTGTAGTATTATCTTACTAAGAAAAACCACAAGGCGTTTTTAACCATGCTTAATTATATGACATGCTGGGAGCACATATTGGATTTTATACATTTCTGACCAAATGTAGATCTCTTTTGAAATTCTGGATAAGAAAATGCACCGCAAGGTACAGCTGAAGGTGAGGCATGTGGCATCTTCCTCTGTGCACGTGTCTCTGTCTGTGCAGTGTGCCAGGTGTCCACCTGCTGATGACAGAAGACGATGAGGAGGGTTTGGAGGGGTAGGGTACTTTAACCCCTCTGCAAAGCAGGCAGAGGGTCCCAGAGGATGCTGACTTAAAGGCCTGACTGTCCGTGATGCAGCAGTACTGTGGTTCCCATGTGGTAAATGAAAGGCTCTTCTGGGCTGCAGGTTCCCATGCCCACTCTGCTCTTGAGCTCCAGATGACCCAGGCGAGTGACTTGCCTGAGCAGTGTGCCCTTGTCCTGCAGGGCAGAGGAAATGACAGCACAGCAGCTGACCGAGCTGGAGGAGGACTTGCAGCAGCAGCTGGCCAGTGTGGAGAAGAGGGTCCGAGAGGAGGTGAGGGGGGCCGGGGAGCCTGCCTGGGGGTGAGAGAGCACCAGCCTATAATGAGAGGGGCTGGCGTGTGCACTTGCTGAGCGAGGGCAAGAGGAGAATCCTGGTGAGGTACCGAACCAGGCGATGGATCCAGGGAAATTGTTAAAGGGAAAGGGCATTGTTACTATATTAAAGCAATTTCATTAGACCACTTTAATAAAGATGTATGATATGATGGGTGCTGAATTGCAATATTTCGAATTATGCAGAAAGGCCCGCCGCGTGGGGCTTGCGCTGGGAGACGTGCTCCCCTGTCTGGGCTCCGCTGCTTGACTTTCATGCTTTCAGGAGCGGCAGAGGCTGGAAGCCGCCGTGGCGGAGATCCAGAGGAGACACGAGAGCGAAGTGGCTGATCTGCAGGTGGCCGTGGAGAGGCTGCGGAAGGTGCGGGCACACGGGGGGCACAGGGGAGCTCTTGGTGGGTCTTGCCAGGGGATTTGCAGGAAGCTGACGCGGCTTCCTCCTGGTGTTTGCAGCAGAGGCTGGGAAGAGCAGCTTGCCTTTTGATAGCTTAGATAGTGCTTTTCAACCTCTGTCAGTTATAGGGAGATCACTAAAGTTGCTTCCAGCAGGGAAAGACGGGAAAACTCTTTCCAATGTGTCATTACTTGTACACATAGAAGCTGGGCAACCAGTACCTCTTGTATAGCTTAGCTTATTCCTGAATAGTGATGATACAAATGTATCAGGTAATTGCATATTTCTAGAAAACACCAGACTAATATTAGTCCACCTGGTGTGGCCACAAGGCTAAAGCTGGTACCACTATCCATGTCTTTCAGGACAGTAATGTTTGAATGAACAAAAGCTCCCTGCAAACGTGAGCACCTGTTCACTGCATCTCCTCCTTTATATCATACAGAACAGCATAATATCCTTATTTAATAGTCCCAGGAGGCCATGTTATTAATGTTCACAGGACGTAATTACCAGGGCTGTGGATTACCCTTAAATTACTTTGAGATTTTTTTCTCTAATGTTCAAGCAAAGATGACAGCAATAATATGTCCCAATTTAACACTGTTTAGTTGTGCATTGAATTATGCTCTGTTGTAATATGTTTTTTTTTTATAGCAGCAAGAGGAATTCTGGCACAGCAGCTCCAGGGAAGACATTCATCAGCTAAAAGATCAGATCACTGAGATGACTCAGGTATGTTGCAAAATTATAAGAAGAATGTTAATGGCACGTAGAGAATCCATGTTAATAGGACTGCTTAATTATATGGAAGAGAGGTTGTTTATTGAAATTTGTAGTTCATGTCCAAAGAATTCCACATATTCATTGGACACATCTTAGTTTTCTCTTCTTCATTTAACAGACCCTGAGTTCAGTTGTTTATCCTCCATTTCGCCATACTGTGTGTGATGGATAAGGTGCACTGATAAATAAACCCTAAATAATTGTCTTCTTCCCATGCAACCTCCACGAGCCTCAATGTCTAAAGAGGGAGGGAAAAGCATTACATGTCCCAATTCTCTACAGCATTCTCTGATTTCCCCAGGAAAATGAGCAGCTGAGGAGCTCGCTTGTGAAAGCCCAGATGAGCGTTTCCATTCTGCAGGTAGAAATGGATAAGCTGAAGAACGAGTATGCAGACCAGAAGCTGCAGCACGAGCGGTGAGGGGAGGCGATCTTGTGGGGCCAGTGTACTCGGGAACAATCTGTGAAGGATCTGTCTCTGGCAATACCAGCACTTCCCAGCATTTACAGTGTCTCATGGAGAACTTGCTTAATCGCTTGTGGAATGCACTCTGACAGGCCTGTATAGATCCAGTTGGTTGGAACGGAGCAGGGTTAGTCAGCCTTGGTGCTTTTATTCGATGCCATTAGAGGAACCGTCCAGTAACTGTAATTACTGAATTGGTTCTTAATGGCCTCATAAACCTAAATGCTGAAGATCACTTTGGTAATTAAGGATTAGTTGAAGGTACAGACTTGCAGAGAATTAATGGGCTCAGGTTGGCTACCCCTGGAATATGAGGCTTTCTAGACAGAACTGCAATGTTTGGATAAATTGTGGGAGATTTGGGGATTTTAAATGTTTTTTTCTTGCAAATCTGGGTGCATAAGCTTGCTCCACTGCTAGGCTAGTGTGGTATGGTGGGAATGTTCTTGCGCCCTGTCCGGGGGTCATGTCAAGCTGCCTTTTGTTTTCTGGTGTTGCAGGGAGAAAGAGGTCCTGCGGAAGATGCTGGCTGAACGTCAGTCCTACTGCAATCAGATTGAAATCCTCCAGTAAGTCCCAGATGTCAGAAATGTCAAATCTATTTCCAGGTCCCATATGGTTCAAGAATATGGTTTCTGATTCAACAAAGGAGTTGAATGGTAAAACGCAAAAAAGGACTTAAAGTCTAAAATGCCTCCTCCGCTTTATTGCAAGTTTAATATTTTTTTTAACACTGGAGTCCCTGTACAGAGCTTTGTCCAGTTTAGAAGTTTTCAGCGTTTGTCCACAGTGAGTTGTCTTCTGTACCTCTTGCCTCCACGCGTGTCCAATGTCCCTCTGCTGCATGTTCACCAGGACGATGAACAAGAAGCTGTACGACAGCAATGACGGGCTGCGCTCAGCCTTGGTGACCAGCGTGGGGCTGGGGAAGAAGAGGGTGAGTGCCTCTCTCGGGAGAACCGGCACTTTACTTAGTTTGCTTGTACTTATTGTTCTTTAAACTTTTTTTCCCCTCCATTTTAAGGAAGGAGGCAGGCCAGCTGCTGTAAATCTGTGGCAGTTGGAAATCTTGATTTAGCTGGTTACGGTCTCTGTGGGATGTGTGACATTTTCTGATCGCCTGAACAATGTGTGGGACAGTGCTAGAGGACACTGTTGGTACGAATATATATTGAGTTTTTCTTAATGCCGCATGTAACGTAAAGTAGAGGGTGTTTATGACTAAGGTATGAAAGCTCTCGGGAGAATCTCTGTGCTTTAGACGAGTGAATGAGAGGACCTTGGCATCTTATTAAACTTGCTTCCACTCCATATGGAACTGCGCTGTGACTTCTGTGTCTTTGGGTCAGTCTGAATATTTCCAAGATCTGTTTTTTTTTTAATTTTTGGTGTTCTCTTCTCTAGCATCTGTCGATCAGGGATGAGAGTCCGCTATTGAGTTTAAAGCCTGGTGACCAGCGCATGCTCAATTACAGCAGGTAAAGACCCAGGATGTGGACAGGAAGTGCTAAGAGGACAGGTATCCCGTGAGGCTTAAGTCTTTCACTTTCTTGAGAGAGTGATGGCTTTGTGAGGTGGCCCAATACAGCCCAGTGCCGTCTGTCATCTGATAGTTTAAATCCGACACTCCATTCCTTGTTTGCCATAGATTTTTGTCTCATTGGTGGTGTTGTCAGTTACCATCACCATCTCTTTCTTTACATCTAAATGCTTTTCTTCAGTGAGCGCACATCCCTCATTGCGAATGTGTACAGGGGCAGAGGGGGAAATAAATGCTTCACCTTGCGTTCCTCTGCCTGGCGCAGTGTAGTCAAACTTTACAGCTGCGGCTTTTCGTTCGTCAAGCTTTGCCAGCGAGGACGATGCCATGACGGTGGATTCTTACGAGCCCACAGACACCAGATACTCCCAGGTGGCCAGCTGGGCGGACAGGTACCTGGACAGCGGTGTGTCTGTGTCTCTGGAGCCAGGCGATGAGTCTGGCAGCGAGTACGAAAGCGACGACAGTCCCAACTCCGTGGAGACCGTGCACTACAGCTACTCCTACGTGCAGTCGGACGTAGAGGTAAACACAGCCGTCTCCCAGCTAAAACCGTCGGGGTGCTATGTAGAAGTGATCCTCATTACACGGTACCAGGTGCTCGTTTACTTTTCATGAAATGCATGTCTTTTCTAAGCCAGAGTGGGCTTAGCCCCTCGTTTTCGTCGAGCGGATCATTCAGTGATGACGCTTCAGTACATTTGTTCTTCCCCTATGGAAAGACACATTTTTTTCCCCATATCGCAGATGACGAAACGTGAGGTCGGGAAACTAAGTAAAAAAATATAACAATGCATAGTGCTCTTCATTGTCTCAGATGTCGGATTTGAAGTCGGAGGGGACGGCCTCCGTCGCCCCCAGCCGGCGAAGTTCCATTGCCTCTTCCATCCGGAGGCGTCTCCCAGCGTTCACCCCCAAGGTAGGGGCCCACAGTACTCGGGGCTACTCAGGGCTGCTCAGTGCAGGAGGGAATCAACGTTTTTAGCAAAGAAGAATAGGTTTAAAAGCCAGACAGCAGCCTGGCTGAGCGAGACTTCCTGGGAACCCGCAAAGTGGGGTGGAAAGCATGTGTACGAGTTTCATTAGGGATCTGTGCTCTCAAGAAGAGCAGCTTTGCAGCCTCGACAGACCATTATATGAACGTGCCTCAGCACGAAGCACCCAGAGGAGTGAGCACAGCCACAGCAGTACCCAGGCTCGTGTATCAAGCAGGCCCTGACTGAAGCTCGGGCAGTAGTGGGTTTTAATACCCTAGGTGCACAAGTGGGTGATTCCAGTCTCTTTATGGCATTGAGACGAGGGACGAACATCTTCATCGGGGGTTAGAGGTACTGAATAAAAAAAAAAAGATCTGGGCTGAGAGTTCACCTGTCTGCACAGCCAATGGACACTGTTGATGCTGAAGCCCCTGGGCCGATGTACAGACTGGTCTTGGCTGGGGATGCAGGAGCAGGGAAGTCCAGCTTTCTACTTCGGCTGAGCACAAACGAGTTCAGAGGAGACATTCAGACTACATTAGGTAAGAAATAACAGGGTGCTCTCTTAATTACCCAATTGAAAACTTGAATCATTGCCCTCTAGGTACCGGATGGTATTTTTATTTTTATTAGTCATAATTATTGTGGTTTTCATAACCATGAACTGGGAAATGTAATCAGCCCAAAGGGGACATTTTTACAGAACATGAGCAATGAATGCTATGCAGTAGATTTTCCAACAATTCTGAAGATAGGTTGTGTGTCTTGCACTAACCCAGTTCAGATGGGGGAGCTGCCATTTGCTCTTTGATCACCTCATGTGGCCAGATAACATTATTAAAAATGTATATTAAAACATATACTAAAAACTATAAACTTTGACAGTTCATAGTTTGAACCCGACTCCAGTCTGCCCTTTTGCAAGGTTGAAGTCTCTTTTTCATACAAAGCAGAGGCATTGCTACCTGTGGCCTTAATTGGACTGCTTTTGGAATTTTAAATAGAAAGCATTTTAGTTTGATGGACAAATGTAAGCTCTTTCTCCTCTCAAGCTGTAGTTTGTCTTGAAGCCTTATCATTGGTGCTGGCCAATTGGATACATGCTGTGGTTTAAATAAAATAGCTTCTTAATGTATTGCCTGCTGCATGTTACTGTGCTTTGTTGTGTGGTCATTATTAATTACTGTAAGTAATGTACTGTGCATATTGTATGGAAGTGCTGTCTGTTGTGCTGTACATGTCCCAAGAGAGCAGCGTGAATAGGAATCCCAGTGTATGTCGCTCTCTCAGCTTTGTTCTGTTGAAAGGCTTTTGATTGGAGTTTGTGAATTGGTAAGTAGGAAAGAATTGTCCAAAAGACTTGTAGCTGCTGCTCTTCCTCTCTGCTCCTTTAAAGGACGCATGAATGTACAGTGTATACTGTATATAGACTTAATCTTAGGGAGTCCCATTGAACATCTTTCTCTTTTCTGTAGGAGTCGATTTCCAAATGAAAAAGATGCTGGTTGATGGGGAACAGACGACTTTGCAGATCTGGGACACTGCAGGACAGGAGAGGTAAAGGTGTTCATCCCTGCCTGTTCTCCTTTATAGAAGAGAAGAGGTTAGTTTGTGACCAAAATGGAACCACTTAAAGTGTGCATTTTTAATAACTGACAAACTGTTGTGCCTGATCCTAAAGTGCACATTAATTTGGAATACGAACTCCAGCGTGGTTTAATTCCGGAAAAATGGCAAGCTGTGGAGAAGATCGCCCTATTCACACCACGTTTGAGTTCATTCTGTGTGAAAGTTTTCTGGCTTTCTGCGCCCCTGCTGAAAGATTTGCAACTTCTCGCCGTGGAAAGCTGATTTACAGCTTGTTTAAAAAGACCTTGCTGACCCCGTCATCAGGTTCCGCAGCATTGCCAGGTCGTACTTCCGGAAGGCTCATGGGATACTGCTGCTGTACGACGTCACCTCGGAGAGGAGCTTCCTCCACGTCAGAGAGTGGATTGACCAGGTTCAGGTACAGCAACGCACGCGGGCAGCTGGGTCCCGTTTCCTGTTTGTACACAAAGTAATTTTAACATTGTAAAGTTCTTTTTTTGGGGAAAAAAAGAATACTAACCAAGCTGCTTGCCTAATATCATGAATAAAGCCATCCTAAATGTGTACTGGGAAGAACAACTAAATCGAGTCACTCCTGTGTGATGATTCAGAAGGCTACATTCTCATTTGGAAGGTGGAGAAGAACTGAAGGGTGTGGTTTGGCAGGCTTATCGGGCAATTTGAACAGCTTTAAAAAATCTTCCCAGGATTCCACAGTCGACCACATCCCCATGTGTCTGATTGGGAACAAGACCGACCTGAGGACAGAGGAGACGGAGTCCAGCTGCGTCCACACGGCACATGGGGAGAAATTAGCCATGGTAAAATGCTCTTGTTTTTGTCATGTCAGATGGAATATAAAAGTCTTGTTTATACACATTTGAAAGCTTTGAGAGTAATATCTAAAATAAATAAGGTGTGGATTGGCTATGGACGCCCAGTTTATGGGAATGGGTGCAGGGTGCAGTATCCAGAGTCTGGCTCCTGAGGCGCAGAACTCTTCGAAGCTACAACTGGAGTTTTTTATTCCTGCTCCGTTCTTCATAAACCAGGTCTTATGGGCTTGGATAACTTTAATAACTTTTCCCTGGACTTTGCTGGTGTTTTCAGTAGCCATAGAAAACCTGCAGAAGCACAGTGGCCCTCCTGTGACCAGTGGCCCCTGGGCTACAACCACAACCCCTGATTCTCATGACCATTTCAAAATCATTGAGTTTTGGCCCAGTAAAGCCGTGATGATTCAGTTGTACAGTTTGCAAATGTCTTGCCTTGCATGGTGTGTTTCTGTCAGGCTTTCTTCAGAGACTTGACATGATTCTTGATTTTGCAGGCCTACAATGCCCTGTTCTGTGAGACCAGCGCTAAGGAAGGGACTAACGTTGTGGAAGCTGTCCTTCATCTTGCACGGTAGTACAGACTTTCGGTTCACTTCCTTGGGAAAGGCTGGGGGACTTGACTGTAAAATCATGCTCTATTACTACATTCATAATATTATCAACTTTCACTTGCTAGCCAGAACCAGGGTTGTTAGGGTTGGTTCTGTATACTCAACTCGGTTTTTTTTTTCAACTCAGGGAAGTTAAAAAGAGCACAGTTCTGAGAAGGAAGTCGGAGCCACAGATGAACGTGACTATTGTGGACGGTAAAAAAGCCCTGAGCAGCTGCTGTAAGATGTAAGAATTTGAATGTTTTCCACAACGAAACAACAGGGCTGACACCAGTGAGAGACATCCTGCACATTTTGGCTGGCTCCAGAATGCAGAATGAACTCGCATTAAAGAAGACTGACATTTTGTGCAACTCTAGCTTTGTCTTAAAGTTTTGACCAGTTTCAAACCAGTAAGACATAGACTCATGATGATCAGACAAAAAAGCATTTCAGAAACATTTTCCTCCCGAGAAGTAACTGCTTGGATTTTTTTCAATGTGTATTACTTCAAAAGCCATCTGGACTCTCGCAAAGAATCTTGTCTTGGGACACTGAAGGATACCTTCCCATTTTTTTAAGATTTTTGCCATACAGGTCAACACTAGAAACTAGATTCATATAGCACTGCTTAACTAATTTTATAACCTACAATTGTATTGTTTTCTTAGATAACCCATTTCATATAAGCTTGAAGCGTTTGAAAGATAGAACCTTTCCCATGTTTCTTCTTCAGTGTTGATGGGAGGGGAGTGTTTATTCTGCAGCTTTCCAATCTGTCACTCTCTCCCAATATTCAAAATGTAATACAAAATGCAGAGGAACTGTCTTGGGTAACATGCATGCTTACAGGGGAGTTTCTTTTATGCACTTTTAATGAAAGGTTCAGTTCAAGTACACTGATGTTAATGAGTGCTGACAGTGTTTGGGGGATGGCACAATGTTTAACTGTTAGGCACAGAACCATGCACTCTTTCCCGAGATGGTTTTCTAATGCAAAATCAGAGCAACTGTTCAAATATGGTTTACACATTCTTAAGCTACTGTAGTGGGATAAGTATTTTAAATGTTTTGTATAACTATTTGCTATGAATGTATTTTATATTAAAATGTTTTATATTTTTAATAAGACAACTTTTGCATTTGAATACCTCAAAACAATGAAGGACCGATTGTACAATTCTTAGCATAGATGTCTATAAATGAAAAACATTTAGTGTTTTGAACTTGGCTACGTGTATAAAAGGAAATAAATATTCAAACATTTAACAATGATTTGCAAAGTAGTATTTTTTTTAAATGAAACTACTTGTTTTGGAATACAACTTGGAAAAAGGTGTTACTGACATTTTTCCTCACTAAAGTTTCATTGAAGACTGGTGTTGATTGTAGTTGATTTAAAAATGATTCTAAAAGATGCTCATGTATGCTAGATTAATTGAAATGACTGAAATCCAAAAATGCTAGCTGCTACAGTTGCAGAAGCAATCTGTTTTGTGACTATAATCCAATTCTTTTCATGTTATTGGTTGTTAAACTCTGGAGCGTGAACAGGTATTTTTAATACAACTTTTAAACCCCCCTCCCTCTTATATACATGATGCAAGCATGTGTAAATACATCCTTCTTAAATGCAGCTTATAACCTATTCCAATAATCTTCAGTAGTTGCTGAATTTGAACTATAGCCATTGTACAACTACTTGTGACTTCACAGATTTTTCACCTAACTGACAATGTGTTTAAGTTTTACTGTTTGCTTTCAGCTTGACTCCTTAAAACTCCTTAAAACCCTTATGCACAATTAACAATTAACTGACCTATGACAAATTAAAGCTTGAACTTCATTCCAATTAGGTCACTGAGCTTACGCAAAGTGTCCCATGTGTAAGTAAAATCCTGCTCAATGGAATGCAATGTCTGCACCACCTCACTTGAAAATGTTACAAGATAATGTTTTATCGACTGTTACACATGAGCGTGTTCTCTAATTTGAAATATACAGAATATGGAGCACTAAAGTAACTTTACAAGACAAAAAAAAGTTAACCCATTACAACAGATGTAAGAAATACAAAGACTGGATGGAACAGCAACTGCCTTGTGTCCAGTCCATAACACTTCTGTCCAGATCAGCCTAACTTTTGATCCCAGGTCTCACCAAATGAAAATAAAATCCCTGTTTATTAACAGAAAAACAACAGTGATCTCCATGCAGCTTCTGTGTTTTCACAATCACGAGACAAAATGACCTAAAAAGCTACAGTTTATTAAATAATTACATGTTGGGGGCAAAGTTTGATACAAAAATACAAGGTTATGTAGCTCCAAGCAAGGCAGTCTGCTCCTTTTGCTTTTATGGTTTAAATTCTGTTCATAACAGGTGAAACCTATGCATGCTCACATGTGCGCACACTGTAGCTGGGTGTCTTTCATAACCCTTGCAGCTCAATCTCAAGCCAGAAGGCAGCCATCTGAAACTACAAACCACATAATCCCCCTATAAGAAAGATTACAAGAATGTAAGTGATCTATACAATGGTACTTAAACAAAACATTATCTCATCTTTTAATTCCAAGAACACTGTGCCAGAGACTGAATCTTGTAAAAATGAAGTTTTGTCTGAAGCAATGTTTTCATTGGGTTATTTAGATTGTTCTTTCGGTTTCTCATTAGCCTTTTTTTGCTTCTGCTGCATGATCTCTGCATCCCTGGAAAAGAAAAAGAGGTATGCATTAAGTTTTAAATGAAAGGTTGAACAGGTCTAGATAATGATGACACCCATGTTAAATAGTTGCATAAAAACATAATTTGCTTACTGACAAAACAGAAGTTTCCATTATCTAAAACCAAAGCTCTGGATCCAAAAGCAAAAAAAATGTTGCCTAACATTCTCCAAACGTATGCATTTTACAGCTAAATTTGGTTCATTAAGTAAATGTGATTCCTTTTAGCTTCTCTTATATAGGTCTGTTCACCCAGTTATCTACATCAGACAGTTTCCACAGTTCAAGGAGGTCACATGGGTAAAGATGAATTTGTGGTTCAATTAAGTAATCAAGGCCAATGGGAGAAAAATGCGTCCAGGGAATTGTGGCCCCATCTCTGCTGAACTCAGATCTCTATTCTACATGACAGTGTAGATGTTTTCTATTAAGCATCAGGTAGAAATTGCTGACTCAATACACTGAACCAAGTTAATACTTTTCTCAGATTTAAAAGCAGGCAATGATTCAAAAACCCTCTGAAAACAGGCAATTCCTTTCCTATGCCCTAAGGGACAGTTTATCATCAAGGTTTCTTTCCAGTTGTGCTGTTCTCTTAAATCAGCTCATTATTGGCTTAATTGGACATTTTAACAGCTATTCACAAAGTTCTGGTAATTTAAAGCAGTGGTTCCTCACTTTGTTCCAGTAGGGCCTGTAGTCACGTGATTTGTCCCAGATTATTTTTTTAAACTGCAGGAGAACCGATGTCAATATTCTGCTTATGGAATATTAACCTTCTTTAGAACCAAACTGGATTTGTAACTGGTTTCAACTTGGTACTAAATTTCTGAATGACACAAATTCTATAAAACTCGGGTATATTCCCAAAATATAACTCAATAAAGGACTTTTAAAATGCTCACAAGGGCTACAGTTGACAAAACAGAAATGACAAATATATCATCAGCTGAGTGGCAGCTGTTCAGTAATAAACAATGAAACTTGAGGAGAGATGACTTGACTGTACAGATAAAGCTAGTGGCAGCAATACGCTTGCAGTAGGTTATTTCTGAAACTCGGGACCGCATGCTGAAACACGCAAACCAAAACTCGCCACGCAAGACATGTTGCAGTGGTGATGCAAGAAGAGCTCAGCTGGAATGAAGATGGGCAGACACGGTGGTTTGCATCTCCAGGACCAGGCTGGGAACCAGTACTCAAAAGCCTACTGCACTGTAGTCCGAAAAGATTAAGCCCGAGGATAAGAGGACGCATGTACTGCCCTCGAGCGTGGGGCAGGCCAACAGCTGCATACCTCTGCTTCCTGGCAGCGGCTGAGAGGCCGTCTTCGTTCCTCTTGCCCCTGCTCTGCTCATTCTGCTTCTTGGCGTTCTTCTGGCGGGCAAGTTCCCGCTGATTTCCCCCTGCAGGTTGTGGGCAGCATGAGGAAGAAACACAACCGCCGGTGAGCGAGGGCTCCACGAGGGGCTCCGCAGGCAAAGACCTTCCCCAGCACAGGGTATAACATCATCCGATTGGCCATATACAGTTTCTTGTATCAGGAATTTGTCTTTTCGCAGACCCCAGCTTGCTCTCCAAGAGACACACAGACAGGGAGAGAAGCTGGGGGTCAGAGCCCAGGGTCAGCCATTTATACAGCGTCCCTGGAGCAGTTGGGGTTAAGGGCCTTGCTCAGGGGCCCAACAGAGTAGGATTCCTCTGCCGGCCGCGGGATTTTAAACCGGCAGCCTTCCAGCCACAGGCGCAGATCTTTAGACACAGAGCCAACGCTCCGCCCCAGGTGGTGGAGAAGTTCAGCTTCAGCGGCGCCTGCCTCCACTACCCCAGTCTCCCCCGTGAGCAGTCTTGGGGGTTCACACTGTAAGCTGAAATGTGAAGCTGAAACCTGACCATGCCAAACTGGGGGAGCACATACAGTAGCAATAATTAGCTTTCCCACATTTGACGTTGTATACCCACTCATGTATGGTTCTGTATTTCACCATACATGACAACTCATACCCGCCATCAATGACAGCATAATGTACACGAATGACCGAATTAAAAGTCCAGTTTCTGAACTACCACACACTTAACTGCTGGGTCGTGAACCCAGAAAGGGGTCACACACAAGAGTCACCCTTTCAAACCTGGGAACAAGTCTGCAGAGAAACGGCAGAAACTATGTTAAGCTCACAACACGCCACGCTACTATACTTCTGTACTAGCTGTACTCATGAGTCTTCCCCGCATGTGAAAGTACAGAATCGACCATTCCAGCGCAAGACGTCCTCACTGTGGGACATACAAACATTCCTGGCAACCCATGCTGTATTAACAGGATTTAGTAACATTGCCCTTTCTATCCTCCTCAAAGGGTTATTCACAAAGCACACACTTTAAGGACGTGGAGTCTATTTATACAACACAAGTCCACATCCACATAGCAGTCTGACGGTCCTTGGGCCGCCGGGCGACAGCGGGACAGCTTCACCAGCTTCACCAGCCCGGCGACGTGGCAAGGGGGCGCTCTAGAGCTCACATGGCTGACAGCGCATTGAAAACAATAACAAAACACCCTTCCTTTGCTCCCGAACACGGCGCTTTCTTAACGACCCCATTCGGTGGAGGAGTTAAAACTACAACAGCTGTAACGACCGTCCTTGGGTCACAAAACGAGCAACTTATCCCCAGCCCACCCACTTGATGGCAATGAGCTACATGCAGTAATGACAAAGAAAACCGATTTCCAGCCATAACCCGTGCTCTTTTTCAATGTCAGGACATACAAAACACAATTTTAAGCTCCTTCAGTACCGCTTAAAGTAAAGTCGTTGGCTGTTAACACTTCTGCCTAACTATCTAAAGCGAAAACGATACAAGTTACACACCAAACCCCTTCTACAAGTTCACACCACATACCTCCCTGCCCTCCTCTGAACTATTTTCCCGCATCTCGTATTACTGAACCCCACATAAAAGGTTATTTTATGGCCTTAATTAATTCAGCGACACAGTTAAACGTAACAAAACATATATAGCGCAAAACAGCATTCCGGCCTAGCGCCTGCCTCCCTGAGCTGTCGGTCACACTGTAGCGCCGCTGAATCGCCACCGGATCACATCTTCCTAAACACAGACACGCGAAGCGTGTATCTCAAGCAGAGACGTGAAGGAACAGACGTTTAGAAACCTACTTGTCATTTTTAGATGGTCTTTTCCACGCTCCAAGTAGCGAACCCTCCGGGCTGCTCTCTCTCCTACCTGCCTCCCTCCTCTGTACTGATAGCCTCTAAATGACGTCACTTCAACGCGAGATTTCACTCAGCACACCCTCCCACCCCTTGGCACTAAATGTTGAATTCTGATTGGTCGAGCTTTTGGCATTCCTGAATATTCACCGATCTCCTGATTGGCCACTTTCGACAAGTGTCAAAGGACGTGTTTTTTAAACTGGCTGTGTTGTTCTGGTACGATAGTATGTAAAATGTAATTTACACTATAATAAATAAAAAAATGTAATTTACACTAAAATACAGTTTTTTGTTACGTTTTATATCGTGTTGAAGGCTGGATTGGATTGATGTGCTTATTGTAACGCTTGTACTTATCCTTTCTTATTTCACTTCAAAGCATAGTGTTTAATAATAATAATAATAATAATAATAATAATAATAATAATAATAATAATTGCTTACACTTATATAGCGCTTTTCTGGACACTCCACTCAAAGCGTTTTACAGGTGGTGGGGACTCCCTCCAAAACCACCGTTTAAGGCTGAAGTCTTCGATCATTGGCGTTAGATTAATGAATTTAATCATGTGGAACAGAAATTCATCATTTTATGCACTGAGAGTTTATTGAGGGTCAACTGGGCTCCCTTTTTTTACGGACAAAAACAGTCAAATTAGGAAGGGGCGTCTGAATTACTCGGCTTTTGCCTTGTTTGAATATTGAAACGCATACTGCCAGCATTGCAGGTTGTTCGAGCTGGCTTACTAGCGCGATGACGTGGATAGCAGGGACCGCAGCCGCTAAACTGACGGGAGTTTTCCCGTTAGCTTAATTGGCTGGGTCCATGTTGAGTGATGCCGGAGGCCTGGGTTTGAGTCCCTAACGGTGGGGGGCTGGCTTGAGCTGGCAGCAGTGAGGGCACATACCCATGTGAACCTGAGAGAGCTTCAGGATGATGCTGTCTTGCATAGTATTTAAATTTGATTTTTTTCGTTTTAATAACTCGTTCAATTGACCATTGTCAGTTTAATTTAGTTTATTTGCTACAACTCTGCGTTAGAGAACCCAATCCTTCATAAGTGATACTGTATTGAACTTGTATTCTGTTAATTGCGACAGATTCAGTTTTAGCGAACAACGCCAACCACGTCAAAAACCGATTATTAATTTTAGGCATCACTGTCAGTCTGTCCGATGGACAAATCCACCTACAGTATGTGCTAAATTGGTGCGGTAAGATAGATAAGACTTCATTGATCCCGAGGGTAAATTGATTAAATATGAAAAATTAGAATATGTACAGTAATACAATATAAATATAAAATAAATACAAATAAATACATAGGTATGTGCAAAATATGCTCATAGTCACTGTAAAAACAATAAAATAACAATATGCATATGTCAGTGCCACTGGTCTGTAGTCATTCAAGACTTTAGGGTGCCCCTTTTTGGGTACTGGCACCAGGCAAGATGTCTTCCAGAGCACCGGAACCTTTTCTAATCTCAGGCTGAGGTTGAAGATATACTGCAGCACTGAACCCAGTTGGTCTGCGCAGATCTTTAGCACCCTAGAGCTGACACCGTCAGGACCCGCTGCCTTCCCTGCATGGAGTCTCCTCAACTCCCTTCTGACCTGGTCAGCTGTGATGGATAGGCCGAGGAGGGCAGGGGAAGATGGAGTAGGAGGAGTAGGAGGGATCACATGATGGGGTGACTGAGGACATGAAGAGGGTGTCTGAGATGAAGGCCTGTGAGGTGAATGGACCACTGTATGGAACCCTGTATAGAATCTGTTAAAGAAAAGATTCAGCTCATTGGCCCTGTCCAGGCATCCCTCACTCTGCTGGGCGCCAAACAACTTGTATCCAGAGATCTTCCTCATGCCATTCCACACTTCTCTCACATTGCTCTCCCTCAACCTGTCCTCCATTTTCCTCCCATAAGCCACCTTGCTCTCCCTAACTCTCACCTTCAGCTCTTTCTGTGCTCGCCTCAGCTCCTCGTCACCTGCCTGGAAAGCCCTCTTTTTCCTATTTAGGACGGCCTTCAGATCACTGGTGACCCAGGGTTTATTATTGGATAAGCAGCGCACTTTCCTGGTGGGCATTGCACTGTCAACACAGAAGTTTATGTAGTCAGTGATACAGTGGGTAAGACCATCAATATTATCTCCATAAGGCTCACAGAGTATCTCACAGAGTAAACGGAGTAGAGTAAGATCTTGGCACACGAGTGCCACCCAGTGGTCGAAATAAAACTTCTTAGTTCCTTAACTCTATAGCGAAATTTTAGTTATAATTTTACGTAATCCTAAAAATTACTTTGACCGACTTGATAGAAGTAAGACGTACTGTACCTCTCGTCGGGTGCCATCAAAAAGCACCCGTGAGACTAATAACGTGAAACGGAAACCGTAAGAAATAGTCAGTGATCGACGTGCTTTGATTCTAAATGTAAAAATGTTGTGAAGAAAATAATCAGAGGCAAGAGCAGCTTCAAATAGCTATAATTTATATATTCAAAAAAACAGACAGGATGAAGTATCAAAACAATAGAAAACTACAATGCTTTAATTAATCTCTGTATTAATATCATATGAAGGAAATGCTCTCTATAATTAAACAAATAGCTGCATATCTTGTCACAACAGTTTCTGTAGTTTGCAAGAGCACTACGAACTACGAAGCTCAATGGGGACCAATAGAAAGTCAGAATTTGGAGCCCAGAGGGCAACGTTCCCTCTAATTTGTAATGGCTTGTGTGTGCAAAAAAATCAAAAAGTTGTGCAAATTTTTCCCCAGTGACTTAAGCTTTTGCGCACTAAATTGGGTACATGTAAAATTGTAAACCAGAAATTATTTTTGTTGTTGATATAGAAGCATAGAGATCCAAACGACCGGGACAGCGATTCAACGAGCCCAGTCATAGAGAGAGAGTTCGGAGCAAGCATGAGCAGTGAGGTACGAGACCATTGATATCGGTGATCGAGTAGCGATAGTAATGCACACAGCCACGTTGCGCCTCTCGCAGCCAGTCTCATGTGGTCAATTGAGTTTTGTTCAATTGACGACCGTGTTTAATGATTACAATTCCGTTTTAATTTAATGTTTTGTGCGCAGTTCAATTTCCTATGTGCACTGATTTTGCGCACAGTTTAGAGGGAACATTGCTGGAGGGTATTAGTCAGCCTGTCAGTCTTCGGTGTACTCTAATTGAATGAATTGGAACGGATGTGCCTTTGTTCCTCAGCTGTCCTGGCCTGGGACACAGGAGGGATCTGGAAGTCCTTCACTGAGTTCACGGTGAGGAAAGGGATGGGAACACCCCCTCCATCCCAAAGGCAGTAGCTACACTATTCCATTAAATTCCCTTCGCAGCAGAGGTCCTTTGGAAAGGCCGTTTCCAGTCCCAGGATCATCAAGTCCAGTTTGGCCTGGAATGGCATGCTTCTTCTGTGCTATTCATCAGTGCAGTCTGTTCATCCAGGTGCCACAGAAGAAAAAACTAGCAGGCAGGATATTACGTTTTGGTGGCATGATAATAAATTCCCAACATTTCTTTGTCACGTTTTTAAATGTGCGTTTAAAAAAGATGTCCAGTCATTGTACAGTACATCTCATCTGACAGAATATCTGGGATCTGTGCGCTGGGTTACTCAGTTTTTCTGTCATCGTTATTTATTCCCCTAGACCGATGTATTTTGCATATGTGTGATATTCTATCAATCTGTCGTTTTCTTTTGTCAGCAGCTAATCCAGACACTGCCACCTCTATTATAATTCAACCTGTAATGTGGGTGTGTGAGAGCTGCTCATGAGCCAGTCAGATGTTGTGAGGTTCTCCATCACTTCCATACTGTATATTACATCTGCTTGCAAAACTGCATGACTATTGTTTGTGTATAAGCTGACATACTACCAGTTTTTTAAATGTATCTATAAAATGACTTCTTACATCTACTTTGCTTTCATATGATCAGACTCCAGTGCTGTCCTTTTACACATTGGAAGAATGTGAAGAAGAACATTCATTTAACTGCTACAGTGAGCTCCTAAGCCTTGCAAATCTGTGTTGGACACTTCTTTAGGCAGATCTGCTGGTGCTGTGGTGCCTCAGAAACAGGTGCTGTTAGTTCCTCCCTGGCAGGAACATTGCTGTCAGTAAACAACCGATGGCTACTACCAGAGCCCCAAGCAGCCACTTCCAAGGAATTCCCTGAAAAGATAGAAACACGATCATTTAGTACATCCATGAAGAAACCCAGTTCATCCATGATTGAAGTGCAAAATCCGCCTGTTGAATTAAGGGGGAACTTTAGGGAGGGCAGGCTGTACAGCCTGGGGTGGGATTTAGCCAGCACACTGGGGTTATCAGCCCCATTATTACTTGCACTGGGAACTTTCCAGACTTCGGTTAATCCTCCAGTCCTTGCCGTCAAGAGCCAGGAGCTTGTCTAGGGTTCTTTCAATCTCCAAATGGGTCAGATTGGTCCAATCAAGCTAATGATTAGGTCAGTTAAGGACAGCACTGCACAGTGTCCCCTGTCCCATAGTGGGCGCAGGATTTGGGAAATGCAGTAGCAGCAGGAACAGTGCCACCTACTGGTTCACTGCTTAATGCAACAAGCAGGTCTTTCTCAGGGGTCTCCCATCCCATGTCTGACCTGAGCCAGCTTCATCTTGACATCTGAGATCTGACAGGATAGTAGCAGCACAAGTATGATGTGGAAGAGGAGTCCAGGAGGAAGTGTCTACCGCTGCACACATTAAAACCTTCATGGTATTCTGTGTCCATGGGAGTCAGGGTACTTACAGATGGCTTTCCTTCGGCGGCTTTCAGGAATGGTGTTATATTTTCCCCCAACATCTGGGCTGGCTTGGCTTTCCAATTCAGGACCTCACTGCCACCTGCTTGCCGTTTCACCAGCTTAGACAGCTCCACGTGAATAGCCTAAGAATAACAGTAGGGCAGATGATTGAGTTTCTGTGCAATTAAGTCACGTGCTATTAACACAAGACACATAACATTCAAATTGAGGAAACTCATGGAGGGAAATTTCAGCTTTTAGTTGAATTCTTTGGTTTGATTTCTTATCATTAAATATAATTGGCACATCTAGAAATATATGTAAATGACTTGGGGTGTAAATGGTGCACTTTCTGGATGGGCCATGTAGACTTTCTTAACGAGAAAATACAATGCAAGTCAGGAAGGCGAATAAAGGTCAGGAAGAGTGTTTGACTGCACCACTGTCTCCTGTGAAATGGCATGCATAGTGCCCATGCAGACCAGGGGAAGTCTGGATACTCTCAGAAGTTCGATAACTATCAAGTGTAATCATTGGGATAACGCTGTTCTGAGGGTGTGCTGTGGAGATGATGTGCTGTCACACGCCGTCCATCTGAGTTCAGCTTCCAGCTGTTCTTTTTTAATCAGGAGCTCATGTTGAAATTACGGTAAACCTTTTAATCACTTATTGGGTAGAAGGTTTAAAAAGAATTCTGAAATCAGAATATCAAAGGCGTGTTCTGAAAGTAAAAATACTGAAGGAATGTTGCTCAAAGGTTTATGTTTTTTAGTGGCCTGTTATTGAGCATTTGTGACTGCCCAGGATTAATGCACTGAAACTGGAGTAAACCGTGCATGTGTCTTTTCATCAGTAAGGGTTATGGGTTATTAACAAACATTATGCAATGAGTCTGTCAATATAACCAAAACTCTCCTGGCATATTTCACTGTGGTCTTTCTCGTGTCTGTGACTCATTTTCAGGTCTCCGATCTTCTCTCGATCGTTTTTAAGATCATTTGTAATTCGTGAAAAACAAAGCAATTATTTAACCACTAATGAACTACCAAGAAAAAAATCCTTAGGAACTTTTTGTGTGGGTGTCCGAAAACCTTGACTTGGCGTCCTATTTGAAGCGTCCAGCAGGTGGCAGCATGTATTAAGCTGCTTTGGTGAAATTCTTCTGTTGTTGAAGATACTAACAGAAAGAGATCACTTAGCCATATACAACTTCTTGCATCAGGAATTTGTCTTTTCACATACCCCAGCATGCTCTCCATGAAACACAGACACACAGACAGGGAGAGAAGCTGGGGGTCAGAGCGCAGGATCTGCCATTGTACAGCACCCCTGGAGCAGTTGGGGTTAAGGGCCTTGTTCAGGGGCTACCAGCTATGGGATTTGAACCAGCAACCTTCCAGCCACAGGTGCAGATCCTTAGCCACAGTGCCACCACTCTGCCCCTTCCAATCTGCAAATGTTTTTCAAGAAGTGAAAGATGAGCTTTAAAAGGTGTAATAATTCCCTGAGAGCATCTGGACAATCATTCTTTACTGTCTTTACCATGCACTTCTGTTTTGAATCTACATTCTTCAAACTTTATTGCCCAGGTTAAGGTCGGCTACCCCTTACAGCAGAGAGACCAGCCCTGTTCCTGGAGGAACCCGACAGAGCTGGTTTTGAGTCCAGCTGGGCTCTGCATCTTCAGTGCTAATTGATGACTCACCTGCTTGCTTGGTTAGACTTTTATCCAACTCGTTTCTTCAATTAGTCTACAGTGTCAAAAATACCCAACTTCAAAGGGTACTGTTCCCAACAGCTTCAGCACACAGAACTTTGCACAGACTCTGCGCAGCTTGCTTGCTGCTTTTCTGCTCAACATGTTTGCTGTTTACTTTTACTAATTGATTGGACAAATCTTTTTTGCAGAGGTCCACTTGTTTTTCGGTGGCACACCAGAATGAAGGCAGTTCTGTAATCAGTACAGGGTTAATGCCACCTTCAAATCCCATTTGACCTTTTTAGTGTTGAAAGCACATTTAGAAATCTGTCCCAAATAGAAAATTGAAACCAATGTGCCTGTGAGTAAGAACTCAGCCCTTCCTCCAGGACCAGGGCTGGGAACCACTGCCTTAGAATTCATCTTCCCCTTTCTGCACAACTTTTCGTCCTTTTGACTTTAGTGCTTTGTTGTTTGAGCTTGAACTGGTTTTTGCATTACAGGGCCTCAATTGTTTTTGTTTGGTTTTGTCCTCTGTAATCTGTCATGTGTATTTTAGTGGAATTGAACGGGACATGAAATGCACAGAACTCTTAATGATGGCTCACAACATTACCAATACATGACAAAAAAAACATTTGTATTAAAAATAAAAAGCTTTTAAACCAAAAATTACCCTGGGTTTTAAAACATCCTGGCCAGAGAAGGCTTTTCCATTGGTTTGGAGTTTTGACTTCCTGGAATTACAGGATGTTGACTGAAAATGACTTCTTTAGGGAGTGCATCATTAATGTTGAGAAATACATTTGTTAGACTTTCTGATGTGATTCAGAGTGATTTTGATTTTCAAATCATGTTTCTGAAGCTCAGTTTAAGGGAAGAAAGAAAATATTTGACTCCTAATAATAAAGTCTTTGCAATAGAGGAAATGTTTTCTGTAATGTGTTTTTCTTAATCCATTCTATTCAAGTGATCTCATTAAAAGACACATTTGAAACATCATCTTAATGTGGCTGTGATATGTGTTCAGGAGCTCTGATATGGATGGGCTTCAACATACAGTAGGTCGAAATATCACTTCTTTTGAATAATAGAAGCTTAATTCCTGGTGCAGAATGACTGTTAGTCAGAAACTGCTTTCTATTTGTTTTTCAAACAAATACATAGCACTTTACAATTTGCATATTCTGTGGTCCAGTAATTTTTTTTCAAACAGGTTTTTTTTTACTGATAACTTGATTGACCAATTCTTAACCACATTTAGTCAGCATGTGTTCTCAGAACTGTGTGTTAATAATCTAGCTCCTATTTCATCCCCTTTTGAGAAAATCTTTTTAAAACTGAACTCTTTATCGAGTTTTATCACTGTCATTTGTCAGAACTGTAATACAGAAAGAACAAGCTTGAAATTGAAGGACTTAACAAGTCAGCCAATTCTTACCTCTGTTGTGTTAAGAGTTTCCAACTGTTGGTTATTAGTGGATTAAGAATCATATTTTAAAGTGTGATTTGAAGAGCATTAAAATTATTTATTATTCATTTTTAAGTTTCAGAACAAAATGTCAAAGATGTTTCAGATCTGTTGCAAGGCAAATTCTTTGATGAACTGGACGTTTGCGCTTTATACATATCTGTGTGTGTTATTATACATGCACCATGTACAAGTATTGTATGTGCGCACATGTGTAGCTAAAATTGTTTTCGCAGAGATATTATTTCAGATCAGTTTTGGATCCTTTTGAAGGATAGACATTAAAACTGTTGCACCAAAAATCCTCACATGCTAAAAACAGTGTTCAGCGCTGTTGGAATCTCTGATTTCCTTACTGCAAAGGATGTTAAGATGGATGTGTTCCAATAATTATATACCTTATTTAATTGTAGAGTAGACTGTAAATGGTATAATTGCACAATAAGTAAAAACACAATAATTATAACTCTTCGAGGTCAAGTTATTCTAAACTAGCAGTACTTTGTGAAAGTAGCAGTAAATTAGATGGTGAGTTAAGTACAGACCTTGCAAAACAGAGCAGTCTTGTGTGCCCCAACTAGAACATTTCTTTTGCAAAGCTTGGTGTTTGGAGGGGCAAAACTGAAAGAATCTAAGCCTGGTGTACACTGGCATGTCTGCGGTGTAAGATGAAGTGTCGTCAACGTGTTCTCGTCAGACTGCTGGCTCCAAGATTAATCTCCGCAAAGCAGAAAAGACGTCTCCAACAATGGAGACACTGCACAGAATGTTTACATCCATCCTGCATATTTGTTTTTACATTTTCTGAATGCTGTGGTTCTTGACACTTTGTTTTTTTTTTTTAACAAATCACAGCACTCGAATTTGATGAAGTTTTCACAGCTTGTTTTCGACCAGCTGGGATCCCTGCCCCTTAAATATAAATGGAATGGAAATGGAAGTATTAATAATGGCATCGCAATTGCATGTTGCCACTGCATGCTTAATTTCTTTTCCAGGGAGGGTGCTACTGCAGCCATTTCAACAACATTGTCATTAAAGAGCCAACAGATATTTAAGTGTTGTCTAGACGAAGTGTCTTGCATGCCAGAGTTGCTGCTGTTGCTGGAAACGAAGGATGAGGATCTGCACTGAGTGCAGTTGAGACTGTAAAAATCCTCTTCCAGGAACCCAGAACAAGCTGACAGGGATAACAAACCCTGGGGTGTAGAGTTAAGAAGACCTGGAAAATTTTCATATATACTGTATATATCGGATGGGAATAACGCTTTCACATGATTCTGAGGGTGGAAGATGAAACCACTTTTAAAAGCTCTAATTTGGATTCCATTATTCTAGGACGACTACGAAAAGAATATCTTATAAAATGCTACAAAGCCAGAATTAAAAATGGTTCAGGTCTGTGTTGATCATCTTTTAATAACTTGTTTCCCCTGTTTGAATCTTCTGTTGTAAACGAGAGCCACTCTTCATTGAAATAGGCAGGGTGTTCCATGAAAGGGGCTTTTTGGAAAAATACCATTCCAGGATTAAAAAAAAAACGATTTTGGTTCAATCTCCTGATCATGTGATCTTTAAACTGATGACACCTTGTTTAGAAAAAGGGTTTGTTTTGTTTGTATATTTTGCTGTAACTACTGTTTTTTCACTCTTCTTTTTTATCTAAGCAGATAAGAGTACAGGGGGGTTGAGTTTTCTAAACTGAGTCAACCTCTGTGTTGTCCTGGAGGAGGAGATAAAAGCCTGTGTTCATGTCCACATTTACCAAAAAAGAAAACTAAACAGTGTTTAGAAGACCCCACAGTCTGTTATTATCTAATTTACACCTTCCGTTTCAATTCTTTATTTTTTCTTGACATGTGAGCAGAAGATTAGATTTACTCCTCGCTATAAAGTTTAATTTTGTTTGTGAGGTTTATGTTTGTATGCACACACACACATTGGGCGATTGTGATCCAACTGCAAGCAAAGGACTGTATAGCAACAAAAAGGCTCTCAGTCCTTTAGGATTCAAATGATCAATACATGCACTTGAACTACATACTTGAACAGCAGCCTCTGATTCACGATGCTATCCAACATCCATGGGGGGGGAGGGGAGTAGGATGTCAGGTAGCGTTTTCAATTTTGTGGGCTAAAGGGTCACTGATCCTGTCAGAGTGGGACGCCTGGCTCTTGGACACCCCTAAACTTGCAGGCTTTACAGCAGAAGTCTCTTGGCCATCCCTCGCCTCACACGGACATCCTAGCGATTGGCTGTTTCAGCCAATTCGGTTACAAACTGGGGCCCCCTTAATATATAAGGGGTGGAGCAGAGGACCCTGAAGCTGTGCTGGCTCAGGACTGACGGTGAGGTGATGATTCTAATTCCAGAACTCAGACAGAGACGTGTTGTCAGTGTCAGAAGCTGCTTCACAACCACCGGCAGGAAAACGCTCCATTGATGGAGACCCTGGCATATTAGTCTGCTGTCTAAAGCTCATCTCCTGGTTTTTAAATAGCACCAGGGTTTATTTGTTTTTCTCAGACCTCTGGATTACAAAGAGCCTCATTCTGGAGGCGTTTTTTCCTAAAACACTTGCAACCCTGTCATTGCAGCTGGCTCCCTGGCTGCTCTAATCTCTGCGGGCTTTGGATCTGTTTTTTAGGCAAAGCAGCGTAACCCCAGAAGAACAAGACAGAGCAGGTACAGATGAGGTCAGAGGCACCGTGAACGGAACAGGTGAACCAATGTAAACAGAGTTCAGTCAGTGCAGAGAGCGTGGGCCCTCCTCGATGGCTCACTGTGTTTGCTTTGCTGCGTTGCTCGACGGCCTGTTTTTCCTAGCCCATCCACGAACTGTGGCTGTCACGCCAGCCAAAATGTTTCGCCAAGCACTCGTGGAAAACTCAGAGCAGCTTTGTTTTTGTTCCCTCACCCCATGTCTAAAGTACACCTACAAGTATTAAAAGGGCATTATATTCTAATGCTTTATTTAAACGGCAACCATAAGTGGGTCTCGGATTTCAGTGCTGTGTTTGCTGGCCAGTTGAGGAGCTATGAACAGTAAATAAGGAAGCCGACCATGAGGCGGTTACTGGTTTCAGTAGGAGTGAATTAGCATTTCAGTAGATGAACTGCAGACTTTATGTTTGGATTTTTTCCCCCATTTTTTCTGTTTGTTTTAAGGTGTCTCGCAGTATAACTGAACACCTGGGGTGACTCACAGCCAGAGGCTCGGTCTTCATAATGAAAGCTTTGATTGCGATTTTCCTATGATGTGAGCGTGACTGAGGTCCCCCACTGTCCACCACAGCTGGGGTGGTGTTCCTATTCTTAAAGGGAAAGAGATGTGACTTTTCATTCAGTCCAGAATCCTTGGTCTGCTTTGGAATTGGCATGTAGCCACAGTCTGTGCTGAGTTTCACACAAGAAAATATTGACCCTTTCCTCTTTTTTTCTCTTTTAAAAGAGAAATAAAAAAAATTATCTTTTAAATGACATGTGCGTATCTGTGTATTCTATGTCCTATTTTCATTTTTCCATAGGGTAAAGTCTTGTATAAATGTTGTAGAGATGTTTAATACCCCATTTCTAGGTGAATGAACTCCATACTAAGAAAATCTAATGACATCCTCTTTGATTACCCCTACATTCTAAAGCACACACAGGTTATATTTCAAAACCTCCTTTTTAACAGACATCATAAGTTTGGAGCAAACATGAGGAGCTAAACTGCTCTGAAAAGTAATACAATTTTGAAAGTGACACACCCTGTATAAGAATAGGGCTGGAATCCAGCCTAATTTGAGTAACACAGACATGCTGGGCATTCACTGTGTGTTTTTTTTTTCGTTTAAAATAATGATTAACCTATCCATTAACCTTCAGACTTGTATTAAAGAGATTTGTAGGATTAGGAAGCTTACATAAAAGTTCTGATTTTACACTGGATATATTTGTTTTTCTGTTGTGAAGAACAAAAATGTGTTTTGCGCATTTTTCTAAAGCTGACCAATCAAATTAAACACGCTTGACATAATTCATATTTGGTTACTGTTAATGTAATCAGACCCAGGACTTAACCGTTAGTCTGTCTAATTTCAACTTCATCCTTAAACCATGTCAAGTTAGAAACAATTTGCTGTTAAAAGACAGCTAATACCCATCATGCTGAATTCCACTAAAAAGTGAATAAAAGTTTTTATTTTGAGACGTGTAAGGGAAGTAAATGTGCTTTGCTCTAGAATCTAGAATCTACACCATGGATACAAATTTAGAAGATGAGTGGACGTAGCATTAATCACTGGTACTAATTACATCACCCCAATTTGCACATTCACCACTTACCTGTACTGTTTTCTATTAACCATTTCTCAATCCCTGTATATGTAAAAGCAAAATTAATCTTTTATGAGGAATTTTATCGAACGCTTTCTGAAAATCTAAGTACACCATAAAATCTAACATGCACCATGTATGCTCTGTGCGCATTATTACTGTTCTTGCTTGTTTGAAGAAATCGGACACCTTCCTACCTTTTGTAAATCCACATTGAGTATTTCCTAGGATCTTATTTCTATACATTCCTCAAAGTTAGTTCAAATAATTGTCTCCAACCTCACCTGTCATAGATCTCAGACTTATTAGTCTAGGATTGCTTGGTTCACTTTTGTCATTCTTATAGATGGGCACTACACTAGCAATGCTCCAGTCCAGGTACTACCCCAGTCTTGAGTGACTGTTGGAGGAGCTGTGTCAATGGCTTGTGTGTAACGTCTTTCTTTGAGTACTGTTTGGTAAGATATTATTGGACCCTGGGGATATATTAACACTGAGTGCCTCTTCTATGCTACTTGTATCCAATACAGTCCTTCTGCTACCTGAGACGTGCTGCTGCTATCTCCTCTGGTGGACACCCAAGTGAAATACTCATTTCGTACATCAGCCATTTCCTGTGCCTTGTCTAGAAGAGAGTTAAAGAGACAGCACTGAACAGGGCTGGACGAGTGCCCTGTATCTGGTGTTGTGCTGTGAGCAGTGAGGGGGGGAGAGAGTCAGGAAGTGAGGGGGCTGACACAGGAAGAGAGAGACATCAAGGGGGTGTAGGTTTTGCTCACCTTGGTGGACGGCTCGAGTTTCAGAGCTTTCTTCAGGACCTCCATGGCCTCTTGATACTCCCCCTTGTCCGACAGTAACTGCAGACAGAGAGCAGCCTGAGAGCATGGTCCTGTTCCACTGCATAATTATACTGTGCACATCGTTACGAGAAAGGTCCCTTTCAACCATGGGTAGTACTTGGGGAGTAAATAGCAACCCACAAGCTACAAGATGAATATTTTTATATATTTTCTCTTAGAATTGTTCTAGCCAAAACACATTTCCGCTTTTCTGTGCTAAGCGTGTACAAAATCCAACATTTTCAATTGTCTTGTTTTTTACACAGGCTTTGTCCTTTGCAGGTAGAATATAACCAAAGACGAAGAACAAAAGAAGAACATTTTTCATCATTGTTTTTTCTACCTGAGAACAGTCCCCAGACAATTCTGTTTTATTCATGGTTCTCTAGCTTCCAAGATCTGATAACAAGTTGATACTGATTCTTGCCATCTGTTATAGACTATAACCCACAATTCCATGGGAAAAACACTGGGAAGGATCGATGCTGTTAACTGGTCAAGCTTAAATCTTTACTTTAAAATGCAGCATGAAATCACACATGCCACTGGCTGCCTTGCTGGTAGGTTGAGGTTGTCACCTTTCCTTTCCTGAAGAGGGCCTTGACGTTGTTGGGGTCGAGGAGAAGCACTTCTTCGCTGGTGCCGAGCGCGTCTTCACACTGCTCTAGCTTCAGCTGCGTGGCCGCCATGTTATTGAGGCACTTTACCCAGCATTCTCGCACTTCCTCCGTCTCCTCCGGCTCCAGGGCAGGGGCTGCATGGGAACAGAGGGCGTGAGAGCACAAGTTCGCTAACTGACGCTCTTGGCCGGTTTTATTTATATACCTATCCATTCATACAGCTGAGTATTGGACTGGAGCAGTTCAGCTTAAGTACTTCGCTCAAGGGTGCAGCAGCACTGTCTCGCCAGGGATTAGAACCCACCACCTTCTACCAGGTCAGAACTCCACACACTGCTCCACGCTGTTGCCCAGGTGTCAGCACTGCTAGAACAGTTAGATGTACGTGGTAGTTTGCGTATTGTATTTTCCCAGGTGTCCCCTCTCGAGTTTTTCTCTCATTGTGTCTTCCTGTGGGTTTAGCCTTGATTTTGTTGGCAGTCTGTGCACCACAGTTTCAGTAGTGCTGTGATTTACCTCGAGAGGTTTTTCTAAGGGCTCTGAGACACTTGGTGAAGGTGACCTAGGATTTGCATGATGAAACTAAGAGGAATCAGCATAGAATTTAGTGGAGCTTCATGACCAAACTGTGATGTTACTGTGCAATAGCGAACCTTCATAAGAGAATTTCTAGGCGTTTAATTATCTACTGCTCTAATCAAGCCCATTTGAAAGATTACTGGCTTTTTTTTCTAGGACACTTCTGGTTTGTGCGAAACCTACCCTAAGTTTTTTTTCTTAGGAGACAAATGTACTGTACAATAATAGTTCTTCATACAGTAACTTTAATTTCAAAAGAAGAAAGGGTGTTCCTTGATAAAATAGGAAAGGGGGTTCATTTTTTTTGGTTCTGGGGTCTAAACACTAGAAAATCCTGTTATGGGCTCAGACAAGAAGTAGAGGACTAAGATGTGGCCCAGTGTGGCGTCTCCTGAGTAACAGATAAGCCTTCAGCTTGAAGGAGACATGGCCCTGGGCTTCATTGCTGTTACTGTATGTGTCGAAGGCCCAAAGGGTGTGAACTTCATATTCACAACAAAGGAGGTAGCACCTGGAGGCCAAAGGAAGTGGGACAGCTCACGTTTGAAATGCAACTTTCCAGCTATTTGTTTTAAGTTAAAAAAATGAGCTATAAAACTATTTGCTGCAGACTACTGTTTTGCAGTTCTGTGATTCTTTGTTATAATCCAGGGACAATATGACTTGACTAGTGCTCTGGAAACGGTTCTCACAGGTTGCTGTTAGTAGGTACGTTAGATTAAAGGGACTGTGAATTTGTTTTCCTCTCATTTACCACACCATCCTTTTGTGTGGTGAGTGTAGTACTGTTGCAGTTTCGTTCTTTGATGGCTGTCTGCAAAAATTCAGTTCAACAGAGGCATGATCTGCATTGCTTTTATTCACTGTGTACCTTATTTTATACTCAGTTTAAACTTGCACTGCAATTGTGTTCTAGAACATCTTAACATCCTGTCCGGGTTATTTGGGTGCAGACATATAAGAAATTAATGTTCTTGTTACATTATTTTATGTTCCCTTCTCAAATTAAATTAAATATAAGAGCTGTGAACACTTGGAACACTAATGCGCAGTAAGTTACAGGCTAAGCAAGCACAGATGTTCTTATGAAGACAGAGTTGTGTGTAAAAACACTTGTACAGAATGTGTCCAGGCTTTGGGGGTGTTGTGGTGATAGCCGGGATACACATCCAGAAACAGGAGCATTTTGCTTCCAGTTTCAGGGTTGGTCAGTTTGTTGAATAATTACCCCAAGTGCCAATAAATGAGAAATTAGAAACAAAAATATTTCTACTGGTGTCCATTTATAGTATTGGGAGTACATTTTATATTCAAAAATCTTTAGAAAAACAGTCTGAAAAAATGAGGTTTCAAAGAAATTATGATTTTAGGGTTTTGTCATGTGTGGGAAATTGTATCACTGTATCAATTTGGAGCTAACTAAGAGAGGGGGAGCAGAGATTGGAAAGGTGGCATGTGGAGGGAATGTGGCTCCTGTTGTACCCCAGTTTCTGGTGTTGCTTGAGTTGTGAAGACCCTGCAATTCTGCTGTCACCCTGGTTCTCTCATTGCAGGCCCTGATTCAAAAAAATATTTTCACCCACCTGTGTCAGTGAGTCATCGCTGATTGTTATTATTTTTGTGAATTATGAGTTTTCTATAAGGAGATGAGGAGTTGAGAGATAATTTATTGATGTGTCATGCTCCATTCGTTTAGCATACTTTGTTCAATATCGAATTGCATTATACATTACTGTCACATCTTCTTGCTGTGGCAGTGCATTATAATAAAACCATTAGCAGAGTGATGATGTGACATAGATCATAAATTGTGGTGAAACTTAATTCTGTGTCGAAGGCCGTGTGGCTTTCATCACCCTTACAGCTGAAAGACAAATTGCTAAATATTTTAACGTGGCTGAACGATGCTAAAGACCCGTGTGTGTGAATATTATATGAGCACATGCAAAACCCTTTTTCTAAGTAAAAATAGGTAGTTGCATATTAGGATCAGGGGCTTAAAACGATCCTGCCATGGGCAAGTGTACGTGTGGTCATTGGCATTATGTGTTCGTTTAAATTTTGTGCGTCCCCCGGGTGAGGACCAGAACTCGGGCATGTCGCTCGCCCTGACCACGGCTGCCTGCACTGCAGGCAGCGACTAGCTTTCGGCATTAGTGGGAGGACGTCCTGGAAAGAAAGGTACCTGGCTCTCTGAGGGCTTCCAGAGCCATGCGGTAAGACCTTGCAGCCTTGCTGTACTCTTCTCTCTGGAAGTAGAAGTTGCCCAGCTCTCTTTTCTGGTTGCCGACCCGAATGCAGTCTGAGGCCGGCAGGGTCCGGGGGTCAGGCTTGTCCCGGATGTGGAGGAGGTGGAGCTGGTACAGGAGAGCGGCGCCTGGTGGAATATCGGGCTCTCTGTCACCCGCAAACACAGAAAAGTGGTCATTACTTACACTGAGTGTCAGTACAGGGACAGGAACAGTTATAATGAGACATAAATAAATGACTAAAATGGCATTACAGCTAGCACTGACTGGAAGAGGGACTGCCATGCAAACAAAATAAAATGTAAAAGAAGGGAGAGGAGCTACAGGAAATCTGGTGGAAGAGGTGTGAGGAGAGATTTTTTTCATGAAAAGCAGTTCTGCCTTCTATGGTTTGCTCAATACCTTGAGAAGCATTGTAACGTAGGCTGTTTCTTTGTAAATTGTTTTTGTCTCCGAGACAGATCAGCCTCTAGGGCATTTTTGCCTTCAGCAAAGTTCTAACTGTTTAAGAATATCACCTGCCCAGCCCCCACCAAGACACCAGTTTTGTCTCTGGACCACCTAGTGATTTTTTACAGCAGGGGTCTGAACAGATTCCTGATCTTCTGCTGTGCGAAAATGTCCGATCGGTGGTCTGCAAAAATCTAATAATGAAGTATCTTTTCCTAAGAAAAGAGTTCTGCAGTGGATCTGAAGAAATACATTAGGATTTTGATAATTCCATAACTTTCTAAAGTACTTTACAGAAGAGAATTGAAAAAATCCTTCATTAATTGATTTAAAAGGGAACTTTAGGAAGAACAAATTGAGCATGGCCATCCTTGTTTGTCTCCCAGAGCAGGGTTTTCACTGGGGGATCCTCAGAGCCTTCTCCTGGGGGGGGGGAGATTTCCAGATACATTGAACAACTTCTCACTCTGAGCCAGGAGCAGACTTAAATCCCTCTTCCACAGTTAATGTACTCTAACTGGAATTACAGCAGGTCCCTTGATTTATTAACGAATATTCTAGTCTCCACTTTGACTTTTGTGTTTAAGTTGGGGCTCCAGCTGGCACCCCAGTCAGAAAGGGCTCTGGTGTGGTGTGGTTTATCAAGAATTGTGGTTTGTGCATCTGCCAATTACAAAGCAATCCCCTGTCTTTTCTGAGCCTGCACAGCCTTTTCGGATAACAGCAGCTTTTCTGTTTTTTCAGATTTTGAGCATGGCTTCAGAAAATTAAATGCTTGAGTGCGCTAGTGGTTCTGGTTTTTGTTTCACACAGACTTCTTAATTAATTGAACTAATTATTACTTCCCAGCTCTGCAAGATGCAGGAAGATTCTGCAGGACACAGACCTCCAGGAGTGAGTATCTTGAGGAAGGACTCAAGAGCCAGCACAGAGTGCGTAATGAAGCAGGACTGTAGCACTAACTGAAACCTTGCTTGTTTGTCTGATTATGAAGTGAGAAATGTTAAGGGCTACATCATACACATTGTGGGCAGTTTGTTAGGGTGGCAACAGCACCAGACAGCCCAGCCTGTCTGGGACTCGTATGGTGTTTGACCACAGCAGCTGTTAAGTGGTAGCACCTCGTTAGACTTGCCTTATTTTCCTTCCTGAAAAACTAATCAACTCCAAGCATTTACAATTTAGTCAGAAGTAAGTACAAATGCTGTAAACAGAAACTGAACGTCTAATAATAACTGAATGTCCTAGACTAACCGTCTGTCCCTGATGTTATTCATTGCACTCCCTGTGCATCCCGAAGCCATCTCTGCACTGCTTATTGGCTTAGGTTCCTTTTTGAGAGAGATAAACAAGGCCTGGCCTTAGGTAATGTGCGTGCCAAGTTTATTTCCTTAATCACTGTCATAGGTATCGTGAAGCAAGTGTATAAAATCTGATAGTACTACATCCCCATCAGTGGAGCCTGTAATAATAATATTAAAGCTATCTTACATCAGAAAGTGCCTCATCAAAATAGAGCTACCCACAGACTAGCTGGTAGATGCTTTAGAACTGTGTGCTTATTTTATCTTGCAGCATTGATTGCAAACACAGGGTAAGTAGGGTGAGTCTTATGTGGGGTTTTTTTCTACAAAAAGGATTGTTTTTAGTGTTGACTAACTAACACGCCGTATCAGGTTTTGTAAAGGACTTAGAATATGTAAGTGATGTCGTGTTTGATGAACTTGGTTTATCTGTGTACTATGAAAAGTAAACAGATGTGGTCTTATTTTTGTTGTGTATTTGATAGTAAAAAGCTTAAAAAAATGTAAATAGTAAAAAGTGGTAAACTGCCAGTTAGAAACCAGCTATTTCCTCGGCCGTTGTGACAATATAAAACGCCACTTCATCATCTAGATAAGGGGCAGCAGCATCCATAGTGCTTTCACAGAGCACGACACATGGAGATGAATCAGCAGGCATCGTCAAAGTATTATTCCAGCAGCGATCTGTGCAAGTTACTCTTCACAAGACTGCTGCACTGAATCAGTTTAAACCTTCATTCTTTTTGCCTTTATCTTAACATCGTGTCTTTTGCTTTTTTTTAATAGAAAGAAAATCAAGAGGATTGATTCTCTCCATCTCCTGTCTCCTGTCGCAAATTCCAATACGCAAAAGAAGTATCTGCAGGCAAGAGCTGTTTGTAAGGTTGGTCAAATCCTCTCTGGAAATGGCGCGGTTTAGAGCAGGACCTTCTCACAGGCTGCTCTGCTGGAAGGAAGCAAGCGAATCTGTGTGATGTCAGCAGCACTGCTCTGCGTCTAAAGGCTGTGCTGTTCGTGACTGGATGAAACAGGAGGGGGATGTCTATGGCCGCATAACATTTGACCCCACAGTGTACTTATCCTGCTGTAAAACCATTTTATTGTCCATCACCCTGCTCTTTAATCAATAAATGCTTGAAGAACCAAATTGGTTTACCGGAATTATGACGCATGCAAGCCACAGGACTCCTAGAATGTAAACTGAAGAGGTTTCATGGTCACATCTTGTAGCTGGAAAGCATGACCATTCCGTGTGTCAGACGCGTAGTCTCAACACACCCCAGCAAGTTCACTTCTGAGAAATGCTATTTTTATATTCAGCTTGCACTATCCGGAAGGAAAGGCAGAATCTAAACAACTCCCTTCTGTGTTTTGATTTGACAATTGGCTGTATATTATCTTTTACTTGTCATTTACTTTGAGTTTACAAGAGGACCTTTACTCTATGTACTCAGTTTTGAAGACAATTTATTGTTATCTCAAAGCAACAGCCCCAACTAGTTGCTTGGTTAGAGCTTTTACACGTTTTTTTCCCCCCAGGGGGGTTGGAGATTTTGCATTACTTTAGAAGTGCAGGCATTTAAAGGAAACCTCCTGCAGGTTCAGAAACTAAAAATAAAAGGTTAAAAAAATGAAACTCATGATTAGGTCTTTTAATGGCATGAATTAGGGGCCAATTATTTAAATGAGTAGGAGGAAAAAAAACTAGCAGTTCTGGGGGTCCCCAAGAATGGAAAAAAAAACTGTCAATCATTTGCCATCAAACATTTTAATGTAGCATTTTATCTTCAAAAAACTTTCCAGTTGCCTTGACTGGGTACAGATATAGAGGTACTTGACGGAGAAGTTGTAGTTTCTCTAACATAGATTGAGCGTAACAGTTGGGTCTGGATGAGAATGGACCTGCTCTGTGGGGAAAAAAATCTCTACTTTTAAAAACAGTAGATTTCTTTGATGTGGTAAGTACCTCCAGTCAAATTGATTTTTCTATTTGTGATACCTAACAAGGAAAATGTTTTAAAAAAGCAAAAAAGGTTTATTTCTCCACCAAGCCTCTCTTTATCCTTTTCTAGGTACAAGGATAGGTTGTAATTCTGTAATGCCCGAGCCAGTGCTGCTCCACCTCTGAAGCTTGCTTCAGCAGCTGTTTTCCAAATGGTAAAGTCCAATAAACATACGAGGTCTACTTCAACAGAGGCCAGATGCTTGCAGTCATTAAAAAGGTTTAATCTGTAGAGCAGTCAAGAAATTGGATATTGTTCAGCTGCTTGGCAGCGGTGGGTTTAGCTGACTCAAGGAACTGCCAGCAGAGAACCTAATTTAGCTCCCAATCAATTGGTCCTAGTGATTGCACTGTAGACAATGGAAATGTGAACCGTTACAGTAAAGAGCCTCTAATTCCAATCCCAGAATGCACCGGTCTGAACTTTGTGACACAGCCAAGCAGTAAACTGGGCCTCCCGAAATGTTTTTTGAATCTTTGACATATTAAGATGGCTGTGCAGGACAAGAAGAGTTTGATTTTATCCTGGACAGCTGTCTAGGGGAAAACTTACTCAGTCTCTGCGGCCACCACCACTGTTGAACCACATCTGTGAAATAAAAAAAAAACAGCTCCTCTTGCCTCATGTATAGAGGATCTTCATTTTCTGTCACCATTCAGATCAGTATATTAAAAAGAGTCCACAAACTGTCTTTGTGATGTAGATTGGAGGTTTTACATGTTACTGTGTACATTTTACTTTCACTGTGGTCTGAAAGGCAGTCATCAATGCTGATTCTTTCTAACCTGGAATTTAAAAATAATATTACACTTCCCCTTTAAATTAACTTAAAGCCAATACATTTGAAATTAATTATCATACAGGGCAAGATTTCTTATGTCCTTTAACCAAATGTACTATATACTGTAGTACATTAAGCACCAGTATGGGGGTGGTTATGTGTGAATCTGGCTGTTCGCCATGGTTCTCTGCACCAAAGTCTTGTGCATGTTAAGAGCCTGCTGTACTGCAGTGTCAGGAAAATGCATTCAAGTTGTCTGACAGTTTTCCCCGTATTTTTCTACCTGGTCCTTATGGGAATCATTAGATGTGAGTAATAATAAAACTATCTGTATTCTTTTTATTGGGGGGGATGGGCATTTCCCAGAGCAATTTATCATTTTTTCGAAGACGTTGGCTGTAGCAAAACAGGAGGAGCTAAGTTCACCAGTTTTCTCCACATTACTGACCTTCCTGTGTCATCAATGCAAATGTCCTGCATGACACTCAGCTGGGTTTTGCGCACAGCCCAGATTACTGGATCCTTTTGTGTTAGTGTGTTCCATTTTGAGCTGGGTGTTATGTCAGAGTTGTGTAACCTCATTGTCGAACAGAAAGTGTGGGGGCTGTCT